AAGATACTATACTGTTCTCCATGAATAGCATAGTTTGCTAGAACTGTGTTAGGAATCTGAATGTGATGCAAAACATACTCTTGAGGAAGATTTGGTGGGGGGGTAGATTAAGCTTGGACAATTTGCTTGGCCTCCTCCTGCACTGAGCAGGGGGTTGGACTTCATGGCCTTGTAGGCCCCTTCCAACCATTTTTCTATGATTCTAAGCAAAATTCCCTTGGTATAATGCTGGTTGCCAGCATTTGCAGGCTAATCTTGTTTTTCTGTGCAAATTACGTAACAACTTTTTTTATTATTTCAAAGAGGCCTGTAACACACTTGGCTCTTTAATATGTCGTGTTTTATTTTGTTATTGAGTGTTACACTCCAATCATCCCATGTCCTTAGAGGGATGCCTGTGCAAATCATCTGAATGGCATTTTCCACTTGGAGATGATGGCTGGTTTTGGTTCAGATGTTAAAAGCTATTTTTCAAAGTTTTAACAGTATTTGTAAAAGCTGTCTGTGAGAGGATAGAAGCCAGTAGTTCTCAGTTTTAAGACTTGTTCATGAGGAGAATGCATGTGTTAGGAAATTATTTCTTGTGAGCTGAAACAGCCGTGAAGGAGAAAATGTAGCCATTCTGCTCTTTCATGTCTACGTCAGAAGTGGTGTTGTCCGGTGGGCAGGCTGTAATGGGGGAAGCTGTTGAGGAAGCTTGTGTGAGGCTGTGGTCAGCAGTCCGTGGAAGGCGTGTGAGGAAAATGCTGGCCGCAGCACTGCCCGCTGCCAGCTTCGGTGATGGTCACTGCCACGCAGGCCCACCTACTTGCTTCCACTTGTGGCGCCCAGCCGCAGAAATCTGGCCTGCTTCTGAATTAATCCAACTGACTGAGCAATGAATGTGTTGAAGTCCTGCTTTGTATGTTACAGCTATCAATCTTGGCTAGGCTAGGACTAGCATGGAGGTTGACGCTCTTTGAATTTATCCGTGTCCCAGGTTTCTGCCCAAAGGACTCCAAAGGCTGTAACCCGTGGGCTTTGTACCCTGAGACTAAGCCCCACTAATCTCATTGGGGCTTGCTTCTGAGGAGACCTATCTTGGGTGGTGCTGGGAATAACTGAGCCGGACTCCTGGGCAAGGGCCGTACCTGTTTGAAAGAGGGGTTGACCATCATCCAGATGAAAAACCCAGTGGAAGTTTTCAGCCGTAGGGCCTTCTCAGTTGTGCGCTCATTGGGCAGGAGAGCCTTTTCTGTAGTGGGTTCTGTGGTATTGTGTTACAGAGGTTTATATGAAAGTAGTTTGTGAACTATTTTGTATGTAGAATTGTGTTTCTCTAAATGTGTCCTTTGGTTATAGCCATTGGGAGTTATGCTCCTTGAAAACCTATCTATTGAATCATTGTTTCTAAACCATAGGGGGTGGCAAAATGTGTCCCACAGGGAAAAAACCCCAACGTGTGAGCCATATGTGGTCTACTGGGACAGTTGTGCAACCAGTAGACTTCAAGTAAAAACAAAATGTAAATTATGAACTGCTGGATAGCTCAGTAGCTTAGTTCTCTGGCTGTGGAGCCAGAGGTTGGAAGTTTGACTCCCCATTTGTGGTTCCTTGAGAGGAGCTGGATTCAATGATCCATAGGGTCCTTTCCAACTCTGCAGTTCTAAGATGATGGTGGCAGTGCCACAAATGGCCTCTTTGGCCAATGTAGGGCTTTTGGAGCCATGGCTGTCTGCTCCTGGACCTTAGCAGGGGAGGGGGTTTCCTTCAAACTGAGTGGAAATTATCTGTCCAGCCATTTGCTGTTGGTTGGTTGATTATGTAGAAAATGGTAGTTTTCAGCCAATTGGCAGTGGCTGGGGTTTGTATTTAGCCTCCCAAGCTCTCAGTCCTTGTTCACTCCAGTTTTGAATGCATATGTTATAAGTTAGGTGTGAAGTAATTACAAAGAAACACATGTATTGTTTATACTGTGTAGCAGTATATAATTATAATTAATGGTTTTAAACCCGATCAATGTTACTTTCAAAATGTTGCTTCTAGAAGACTACATTTCGTATGTTGGGGAAAAATAGGGATGGAAAGTTCAGTATTTTCAAACTCTCAGTCCCATAATTTGGGACTGGGAGCCCTCAAACCAGCAAGAGCAGGTCCTCTTTTTTTCCATGCTGTTCCTGCACAGTTTCTGAAAGCCAATAGAAAAGTGCTTCACGACACTGTGAAGGGACCTGCAAGGATTCCCTGTGGCTCACAAGGGGGGATGGGTTCCGAGGAGTTCATTAATTCTGAAAATCCCATCTGTGATAACAATTTCAGCTATAATGTGTGAACATTAATTTAAGGGGGTTGGAAATTTTCTGATACATTTTTGTGTGGGAAAGTTCCCGTGTCATATATGGCTGTGTGAGGCCCGGAGCGAGAGGGAAGATGCTCTCGCCGGAGTGCTGTCCATTGTGTCAAAAACAGAAGGGGGAAGCACAAACCTCGCCGATACCCGAGCCTAGAAGAATCGAACAGTGGGGTACTGATAACAGGGACCTAGAGAGAGAATTACGCAGGCTAACGGTAGCATTTCAAACCCTTGATGAATTGGCGGGAATCGGGAGGAAAAAGAGGGTGGAGATTGAGGTAGGGAAAGCTGATATAAAAGGGAGAGAAGATCTGATACGGAGGGGGGGTTGGGAAATAATATGGCTGAAGAACAGGCAGAGTTTAGAGAGGGCCATTCAGCTCTGGATCAGTGTTTGATTCTGGAGCATTTATTCTCAAAATATTCTTCTAAGAACCCTGTGTTTCTATATGCAGCTTTCATTGACTTTAGATCCGCCTTTGATTCAGTCTCGAGGGATATTCTATGGGCTAAATTAAGAAGTTCTACCATTGACAAATGGCTCTTATTTTTTATTAGAGCTCTACATAAAAATATCGTATTTGCCGGCGTACAAGACAACTGGGCGTATAAGACGACCCCCCCCAATATTTCCACTCAAAATATAGAGTGCGAGGAGGAGGAAGAGGAGGAGGAAGAGGGGAAGCAGCTCTCCGGTGGCAAGCGGGCAGCTGGCTCAGCTGCGAGGAGGGCGAGAAGAAGCGGCCGGGCGGGTGGCAGAGGAGGAGGAAGAGGGGAAGTGGCTATCTGGCGGCGGGCGGGAGAGCAGACAGCTGGCTCAGCTGCGAGGAGGGCGAGAAGGAGGGGAAGCGGCCGGGCGGGCGGCAGCGGAGGAGGAAGAGGAAGAGGGGAAGCGGCTATCCGGTGGCAGGCTCTGGCCGCTCAGACATGGCCGGCTCTGCTTCCCTCCCTCTGTCTGGACCAACTGCCTGCCTGCCCGCCTGCCTTCCTCCCCTGCCGGCACGGCCCTGCGTCATGCACCCGGCATATAAGACGACTCCCCCCCTCTTGGAGGCATGTTTTTGGGGCCAAAAAAGTTGTCCTGTACGCCGGCAAATACGGTACTACAATACGAGTTAAAACCAACTCACAAGGCCATCTTGCAGCTCCTATTAAGACTAAGAAAGCTGTAAAACAGGGTTATATACTGGCTCCCCTGTTATTCAGCCTTTATATAAATGACCTAGCAACTCAGTTAAATAATAGAAGAAGAATATAGATGGAGGAGGAAGAAGATTATTGCAAGAGATCCCAACTACTGTACGGTGGTGGGGAACACAGTTAATTTGTATTTGGCTTTATATCTTTTATGTTTATGTTACCCTTAAATTCAAAAAAGAAAGAAATGTCATGAACCACTGGTTCGACTGTTTGTGCCAGTTTGTTTCTTGGCTGAACAGGTGGTCAGCGATGGCACCCGGAGGAGGCAGGGCGAGGTAGCCAGAATGCTCCCTCTGGGTGGGCGCCTGCCAGAGGAGGTGGAGTGGAGAAACATTGAACACCTGTTTGGCCAAGAAACCAATTGGCACTCCATGCCCATCTCTAGTGCTAACATTGTTAAGCAAAAAACTGAAGGAAAACTAAAATGTGAAACAAAGATTGTGATTACTGTTTATTTCACTTTTCTCTACAAAGTGCCTCAGTTCCCTTGAGCTTGGGAAACTAGAAGTGTTTGCATAAGATTTGCTGGTTGTCTAGTCACTAGTGCTTGTGGTTACTTTAAGCTGCCATAAGGTCAAAACACAAGAAGACTAGTATGTTGCTTCACAGCATTCAAAATGCTGAAAGAAGAGAGATGGTTGGCAAATACTGTACAAATATTTACACAGTTTGTTTCTAAATATGGGATACTTTGTTTGCTTGTTGAATAAGAATGTGTGTTGAGGAATAAAAATGCGTCAAACAAGCATTCTAAATCAGGTATCCTTACATAGAGCATGGAAAGTTTTCTGGAACTTTTCATTTTTTCAGGGAAACCCACATCCTAGGTTATTTCCAAGGTTTGCATTTTCCTGCAATACAGGAATATTATTTAGGCAAACTAATTGATATGATCTAGTCTCATTGTGGAGAATAATATTTTACACTAAACTTAGTACATAATGAATAATAGAGAAAAGCCAAGAGCTGCAGGACAGGAACTTTAAACAAATGGTGCTGAGAATGGATAGAAATAGAAGAAATGTAAAGGAAACTATTTACTGCTTATATACTGCCCCATTGTGCTTAAAGCACTCTCTGGATGGTTTACAATTTAATTGTGCAGGTTACACATTCCCTTCCCCTCCCCTGTGAGCTGGCTACTCAGTTTACCAACCTTGGAAGGATGGCATTTGAGTCAGCCTCAGGCTGGCTACCTGGGATTGAGTTCAGGTCGAGAGTAGAGTCCACTGCAGTGCAACCATGAGGCTCTTTGTGGCTCAGTGGTTATTACATGGTTGTAATAATTTAGTTGCTAACATTGTTTACAATGAACAAATAGTTCTTGCTAATGGTCTTTTAGAAATCATTTTCTGTTCTGTGGTATGATTTATAAATAGATACAGCCAGACTAGGCAAACAGATGTCTTAACACTTGCAGGTCTTACAGATGTCCAGCATTGACTTTTAATACATTTCTTCATTTCAGATGGCCAAGAGATAAAAACTGTACAAGGTATAGTGACAAGATTTTGCCTGGACTATGGGATGATAGATGATTTAATTTCTTTCACCAGTGATTGTGTGATGAGCAGTGTACCTCTTCAAGTTGGACAAAGAGTTGTAGCACTTGTCGAAGAAGATAAAACATCAAATGGATTGAAGGCACTCAGGGTAAGATAAACATGACTGTGATTAAGTTTGTGTGTAAATGGTCTACAAAACAGGTGGTGGCATCCAGTTACACCTGAGAGCACAAAGTGTCATTTCCTACCTATTTAGATGTTGTTTTACCAAGATGAGGTCTTAAGATTTCATGAGTGAACATAGGACTTTCCTTTACCACCTTATAATGGAGAGGGAGTAACATCTGATCCAGGTTGTATATAGAGTTTTCTGTGAGTGGGATGCTTCTCTGAAGTAGTGATTGTTGGGGAAGACAAATGACCTAAAATATGATGTTAAACATAGTACACTCTGGATCAGATGTTAACTATTTTTGCACAATGAGGAGGTGGGTAAGTAAAGTAGTTCAAAACTGCAAGAAATTGTTACCTGGTAATTTTTACTTGCAAAGTAATCATACTGTCATTATTTAGTCGTCCTAGTGCGTGTTTTTTGTTTGTTTTCTAGAAACCTCTAATTTCTGTATCCTATAGAACTAACAATTTTCTGAGAACCTTCCTCTGAAAACCATAATGATATTCTTATTATCGGAGGGGTTATATCACCCTTGCAGATTAGTCTGGATCCCATACAGTATAAATAACCAAATCCTCCTCCACACCACCAATATAAACAGCCTACAGGTGGGGTTGTGGGTAGAATTAGTATACTGCATGTAAAATAAGCAATGCATTAATATTGTTTGAAGTAGGGAAGTTCAGTTTTATTCAAAACCAGAAATGTGTCACAAATTGCATGGTTTTGAACCAATGAGGTAATAGTACGGTATGAACATACACCAAAGTGCATCACTATTTTTGGAGAGGGAGGAATACCTCCAGGTCCCCAGTAGATGGCAGACTTACCTCACTAGTGGAAGTTCAAACAAGTGAAGTTCAAACATAGAGTGTGGATTGCAGAACCAAAAAGAGGGGGATGTTTTAAAATTTCTGTTATATACCATTCCCCTCCCTTGTTGCCTGTTTTAATTTCCCTGATTAGGTTATGCTTGTTCTATTGCTGCAATACTGTTACCTTGGTTTTTTTTTCAAAACAGGGATATTTTGGCTTTTTTTAAACGATGCTGGAATAGCTTCATTTTATGCTACCTTTATTACTTTACACACCTTTGTTTGTGACCTATGCTTCTTCCCTTTTTCCCTCACCTTTTGGTTTTACTTTATGTTTGTAAAATTGGATGCTTCTATATAGAGAGTGCCTGCCAGAGTTTTATACAGTTTTGTAATTGTCTCCAATTTATACTTTCTACACTGTTTTATTTTGTTTTCATTTTTTGCATGCATAGCTGGCTGCATGTATATGTATTTTGGAAAGAACAGGCTACTTATAAAAGTTTTATATCCTTTTGTGATTGTCTTTAGGCTACTCTTATGCTCCTCTTTCACATGAGAATTGAAGTAGGGCACACTGAGATGCCTGAGCAAGTACGTGCTGTACCTAGATTGTGGTTTAACAGTGTCCCTGCCAGTGTGTTAAGTATCAGCCTCCTCCTGAGAAGAATGGAAGAGTTTACCATGTCCTATACTGCCACTTTAAACACAATAGATAGGTCTGGTATTGGACAGCCACATCCTGGAGAAGAGCATGCTGTAGATTCCTAAGACTTTATGCAGTTCACTTGAGTGATGAAAGGTAGACATTTGAAATGGAAAGGGCCTGCAGTAATATACAGTGGTGCCTCGACTTATGAACTTAATTGGTTCCGGAACTCTGATCGTAACTCAAAATGGTCGTAATGTTGAAGCACAATTCCCCCTAGGAATGCATTGAAATGCAATTAATCTCTTCCTGCTGAAGAAATAAAATAAAAAAAAACCACAAACCACTGCAAGACCCATCAGAAATGCATAAAAATTAAAGCAGAAAGAAAGCAAACCATGCAAGACCCATCAGAAATGCAAAAAAAGCAAAGCAGAAACAAACCCCGCAAGACCCATTGGAAATGCAAAAGAAGCAAAGCAGAAAGGAAACAAAGCCCGCAAGACCCATCGGAAATGGGGGGAACCCAAAAAGCAAACAAACCCCGCAAGATCCATCGGAAATGGGGAGAAAATCCCAGAAAACAAACCCCGCAGGACCCATCGGAAATGGGAGGGGAACCCAAAAAGCAAACAAAGACTGCAACACCCATCATAACACAGAAACATAACCCAGCCCAAAACCACGCTGCAAAACCCACCCAGAACAGTTTTTAAAAAGCAGAAAGCAGCAGCACCTTACCTTGCCAGGCAGTCCAAAGCCGCCTCCGATCACATATTCTCTAACTGCTGGGGTGAAAGAGCTAAAAGAAGCAGTTTCTTTGCAACCAATGGTTAGCAATTTGAATTCCCCGCCTTTTTTCCCCTGCCCTTTTCTCGTTGTAACTCGAAGCTCCAGATGCAAGTCGAAGCAAAATTTTACAGACGGAGCTGGTTGTAACTTGAAATGGTTGTATGTCAGGATGTTCATAAGTCGAGGCACCACTGTAGTTAACAAAGTAGCACATTCTTGCATATATATTTTGGAAGAGACATGGGGAGGGAGGGAAAAGGCTGCATCAAGGGGGAGAAACTGAAGAGTTTGCACAGTGGTCCTAATAAGTGTGATCTAAATACCAATTGTTGTGTCATTCAGTATTCTTTGGACTTGAGCAGTTGTCTTAAAACAGCTCTGCATCCTGCAGTCTAGGTTGAAGTTCAATCCATACATAAAAATGCAGAACATTGGTATGTATGTGTGTTTGAAGCAGTCCTGCAGCATATGTGCTTTGCATTGGACTCGCCCATGCTTGGAGTATAATATTGAACATCCAGTACATTCAGAGGTGAGGTCAGAAGTGCTATTTTAAGAGGTTTGATTTATATACTCTTGTAGGTAGAAATAATATCAGATAAATGGGAAGAAAGCAACGTATGTACTTACAAAGTGGACTCTGATGTTAAAACTCTTATTGGGAGTATTACATCTCTAACTGGAGTTGGTGGATACATCAATCAAACAACTTCCTTCACTATGAAAGAGGTTTGTGAAGGTAATGATTTTGTTTACCTTGATAGTTGTTAAAATTAAACATCCTTGGATAATAAATTGTAGAATGTATTTTGGGGGGAAATGCTGTAGGTAACTTGTTAGAAGAAGGTGTATTCTAGTTTCTTAAAAGGAATATTTTCAATTATGAAAGAAATATATTTCTGAATGATTCATGTGATTTTATGGATAATGATAATATTTAAGAAAATTCTAGCATTTGTAATATATCACCTTTATATGTTTTATTTTTGGAGTATAATTTTCGGAAGAAAATTCTCAAATTCAGATGTAACTATTATGTTTCTGTTGCATTGTAACCATTTTGTTTCTATAGCATGTTGATAAGGATATTTAAACTGTTATTCAGGTCTCTTATAACTGTATTTTTAAGGCTTTGACCCTTGTAAAGGAGATTGGGTGGAAGCAGAATATGTTATTAACCCAACAACTTGGACCAGTGAAGCAATTTCGGTAAAGCCCTTGAGGTATAAAAAAATTGAAAAGGTATGTCTAATGACTGGCTTAGTTTTGCGATTTCTTAGAAACACGTTTATCAGCTACTGAATGGCTTGAGCCAGGATATCTGAAAACACTCTTCCATATAAATCCATCCCAGAAATTTAAATCCTTGGGAGAACCTTGTTCTTTGTCCTGTTACTACGGGGAGCTAAGCTGGTAGTACATAAGAGAGGGTTTTCTCTGAAACTGCAGAGGGGAAATCAGGTTGGCTCCATCCTTGCCAAGCTTTAGGCAGACAGTGAAAACTATATTTGAGACATAGTTTTAAAAATGACTTTAAATATTGTTTTAATATTTTAATAATTTATGAATATTATAGTACATTGTTTGGGAAGCAGAGAAGTGATTGTTAAATACTAACAATGAAAGAAAAATAAATACGGTGGTGCCTCGCAAGGTGAATGTAATTCGTTCCGCGAGTAGCGCTGTCTTGCGAAATTTTCACCTTGTGAAAAGCTGTCAAAATCGGGTTCAATGCATTTCAATGGGGGGAAAAAATCACCAAAAATTAACGAAGAGTCAGAACAAAGCCAAATTAAGTTTGCACACATTTTAGGAGGTGCACTAACGATTCCAAGCATTTAAAACCGTTTTTGAACCTTTTAAGACACACTTAAAATTGCAAAAACGGACATCGCAAAACCATTGAAATGCATTGAATAGGCTTCAATGCATTCCAATGGAGGATACATTGTTTCGCTTAGCGATGTTTCCTGCGGGGATTTTCGCTTAAGGACAGCAGTCCGTTCCCATTGGAACGGATTAACTGGTTTTCAATGCATCTCTATGGGAAAACGTGTTTCGCTTAGCGATGTCTTCCCATAGCGATGTTTTTTGGAAACAATTAACATTGTTAAGCGAGGCACCACTATACATTGCTTTCCTCTGGGGACTTCAGCAGTTTTAATTAACTAGGAGCAAATAAAGTTCTCCATCAAGAAAATCTATATACAAGGTCTTTAGAAGAGTACACTTGCCTAAAATATGACGATCAAATAACGGTAGAATCATTCTTGTAGTCTGGATGTCATGAGAACTTGAGAAGAGTCACGCTGGATCAGGCAAAGTCCAGTCCAGCATTCTGTTCTCAGCATGGTCAACCAGATGCCTCTTGGAGAAATTCATAAGAAAGACACAAATAAAAATGCCATCCTCACATGTTCCTCAGTAACTGGTAATCAGAAGAATGCTGTTTCTGATACTGGAGAAGAACACAGCTATGGTAGCCTTTGATACCCTTATCCTCCATGAACTTGTCTAATTTCTTTTAAAGCTGTTAAACTGGCTACTGGCATTTCATCTTAGAGCAACACATTCTAACTATCAAATCAAATGTTTTATTATGGTTATTGACCAGCAGAAGTAAGCTACGTTATTTAAATTAAGAAAAATAAAATCAATCTAAAAGCATTAGATTAAAAACATTTATATACATATACATAACCACATTCATACATCTTATTAGATATCTCCTGCCTCCCTAACATAGGCCTTGTCTATGGGCTATTGTAGCTTGCATGGAATGACAGGATTGTTACTTAGAAGCCCATAGAGCCCGTGTGATCATTAAGGCCTCTATGTGTATACACCAATTAACAGATACTATAGCTGAGCTTCAGGTGGAACCTTCTCGGATTTTGATTGCAGCAGCACATAATTTAACTACTTTTGTCAACATACCTGAATTTTGATTTCACCCAGTATATCTCCTTGGGCATCGCCCTGTCAGCACGAGCAGTGTGTTCCTCCAGTTGTCGAGGAAATGCCCTTACGTAAGGGTTAACAAGGACTTCTCGAATGCCAGAATAAAAAGCATAATGAAGTAATACATGGGAAATGGTTTCAATCACACCAGAGTACAGGGGCATACAGTGGTACCCCGCTAGACGATGACCCAGCTGTACAACGAATCCACAGGATGGTGACTTTTTGCGATCACTATAGCAATTCGCAAAACTGTCGTTCCTGTGGGGGAATTTAGCTTGACGATGATTTAGTCCGTGCTTCATGGACTGCTTATTCGCAAGACGATGATCTTTACAGCTGATTGTCGGGTTCCTAAAATGGCTGCCCTGTATTTTCCGGACCCATGCTTCGCAGGGCAGCCATTTTAACAGCTGATCGGCGCTTGGAAAATGGCTTCCGCTATGGGCGATCGTCACTGGATGACGAGGTAATTTCCCCATTGGAACGCATTAAATGGGTTTCCGGACTGCTTATTCGCAAGACGACAATCTTTACAGCTGATTGTCGGGTTCCTAAAATGGCTGCCCTGTATTTTCCGGACCCATGCTTCGCAGGGCAGCCATTTTAACAGCTGATCGGCGCTTGGAAAATGGCTTCCGCTATGGGCGATCGTCACTGGATGACGAGGTAATTTCCCCATTGGAACGCATTAAATGGGTTTCAATGCATTCCAGTGGGGAATTGTTTTTCGCATGACGACGATTTTGCTTAAGAGCGATTTTCCCGGAATGGATTATCGTCGTCATGCGGGGCACCACTGTATACGCTGAGTGTAAGGGGTGTTGTTATCCTTCCCTTCTTGGACTGCTGAAGGAAGTGCATTGAAGTGGGCCAGCATAAGGGATTTGCATTGTGTTAAGGGTAAGTAGAGATATTTAGCGGGTTTGGGTGGAAGCAGTGCATTGTCAAATAAAAGTCTATTTATGGTGATATCAAGATCCTGCTGCCTTTCTGTCTCAATAATACGCTGGCTAAGATTACTCTTGGCCTTAACATATCCCATTTGGTAGATACATTCTACCAAATAGCTGTATCTGTTGATTTTATTGTAGTCTTCTGAGGTGATTGATGATTATCCTGTTATTTTAACTACACTACATGTTAGGTAAAAAGGTAATTCCTTTTGTCTGTTAGGGATCTCTTCTAATTCATCTCAAATACATGGTCTGAGCTTTAGTATCCCTATTCTGTACCATGCATAATTTAATGCAGCTAGATCCCGTTCCTTTTTACTTGCCTTTTGGAAGTGAAAAAGTTCTAAGCATTTAGGAGAGTTGCTTCAGTTCCTCAATCATTTTGGTTTCATGTTTTTACAGCTTTATCACCTGTAGACTGAAACAACTTGTCACTGAGTTATCCTGTGTTCACAGATCTAGATTCTAAAGAGAGTGATAGTTTCAAAGCTGAACACCTATGCAAGTTATTGAATGCAGTAAAATTAGGAGGGCGTCCAAAACAAACTACCAGTCTTAATGTTTGTAGAGAGTGCTAATACAGTGGTGCCTCTCAAGACTAATGTAATTTGTTCCGTGAGAAGCGCTGCCTGTGGGAACCTCACAAGACAAATGAAATTTATTTGTCTTACGAGGCATCGGTCTCGGGGGAAAAAGTCTTGAGAAGCATGACAATAGAAAACGTCTTGCGAGGCACCATAGCGATTTCTCGGGGGGAAAAAGTCTTCAGAAGCATGACAATAGAAAACGTCTTGCAAGGCACCGTAGCGATCACAAAAATCAATCGTCTTTCGGGTTTTTCGTCCCATGAGGCATTCGTCTTGCGAGGCACCACTATATCTGATTGGACCTGCAGTCTTGCTACAATTCAGGCATATCAATTTAAGTTCTTGGGAAATAGCTTTCCAAAAGGCAAAGTAAAGGTTAACCATGCCATTGTCAGACACGTAATAGGAGACAACTTGGTGATTATGCTGTTATCTGTGATTGACTATTGTTAGGAACAGCTAAATACAACATACAGTTTAGTAGAGTAGCATTTATCTTTGATGCACAGCTGGTCATCTCTTTTTTTCCAGTAAGCTTAAATAGGATTATAGGCTTACATGTTATTGTTCTTAGAAGTTTTTATTGTATCTAACAAGTACAGTTGTTACAGGTTCGTATTTCCAGTGTGTGCGGAAGAATTGGCGTGGTAGATGACAGTGTTTTTTTCTCTCTGGATTTCCTGAGACTTCCTGATGGTTATTTGCCCCGAAGACATGACCTAGTCAATATGCTTGTTGTGGAGAGCAAACAGTCCTGTTATATCTGGAGAGCACTTTGTATGGTTCCAGTAGATGAAAAAAGGTAGTCAAAAGGAATAAAGGTTTCATATAAAGTTTAATGGGTTATGCTTGAAAAGATTTTCTGCTTAAAAATAAGTGTGCTTAAAAATAAGTGTGGTATTGGATAGCAGCTGGTTTGATATGCAGATGAATTGTATTTTGGGAAATATCATTACTTGCTGAATAATTAACATTGCATACTGATGAGCAAAAAGGCTAATGCCAAATTTATATCATTATTTTAAAACAATCTTGTGGTTTGTTTACTATATGATTGCTGGTTGAAAATTTTGAGAGCCTCCATAAATTTTGAGAATTTTTTAAAATTAATCTTATGATTCAGAATATACAGAGTTTGCAACTTGCTCAAGAGTCAGTGTCTTTCATCTATTTTGGATTATAGCTTGCATCATCCTTACCCTTACCCTCCATGCTAATTGTGGTACAAAATGTGTGCCAGCCTCTAAATTGCCTATTCCTGACTGAGCTTACATTATTAGAAAGAAAGAACAAATATTTAAAGGCAGAAAATATTTCCAGGTAAATATTGGGGATGTTAAGATCCCCAACACAACATGTAGAAGAAGAAAGGCTGAAGATGTGTAGAAACTATTTTCTTTAAAAAAAATCATAGCTTCTAACCAGGGTGGATTTGATTTAAATTATGATTTAAATTTAAAAGATCAGGTTTTTTTGATGGTGTAAATTTTTTGTAAATTCATGATTTTAGTCCATTTGAATTTTTAAAATAATTGATTTTTATCCACACTGCTTCTAACTGATCAAATAAGAGCAAAACTATTCTAGTCCAGACTAGGACTTAACAACAAAAATGTGCACGGTACCTTCAGAGGTTAATATGCTGTATCTCATTCATTCTTCCTGCCGCATTCCTTCTCATTTATTTCATTTAAGACCTAATTATCTAGAGTTTTGTTTCAGCATTAAGGCTCAGCGCAAAATGTGACTCCCCAATTAATAGTTTTCAGGTTTAATTTCTTTTAAGGCATCTGTAGCTTTATGCAAACAGTAATTAGGTTTAATTTTTTATATTGCTCTATAACTTAGTTTCAGGGCATAATATGTAAACAAATGAAGTTGAGAGCTTCTTCCAGAGATGAAGGCCATAATCACAAAGCACAAGCTTGTTGTGTTATTTAATTGCTAGTTATAGTTATGCTTTTGTTTTTCCCACAAGCTCATGCTGACATTCATAAATCTTTTCCTTCAAAGTTATTTTCATAACTTTATGAATTATGGCAAGTTAAGAGAATGGCTGCTCCAGGGTTTCTCAGCAAGGTTCATGGCTTAAGAGTGCCCTGGATCATTCATGTCCCAATACGGCACTCTAGCCAATGTACCATATTGGCTTGTCTTATTTTACTTCTTTTTCCCACCTTTTGTCAGTTTTTTCTGACTTAAGAAAATCAGTGATACGACTGCATGTTAGCTCTTAAGAAATGTTCTTAGCAGAAACTTAGATTATTTTGATGTCGTATTGTTATTTAATTGTATATAAGTTACTGTGATGCAATAATAATTAAATGCAATCAAGTTGATTCTGACATTAAAGAGTATGACAACCCTTTCCAGGATTTTCTAAGTACAGAGTAGTCAGAAGTAATTTTGCATTCCGTTCTACTGTGGGACTGTAAGAAATTTGGCTTGCCTGAGACTCTGCAAGCTGGCTTTTTTCATGGGAAGCACAATGGAGAATCAAACTCCCATCTTCTGCCTCTTCAGCCAGATACTAACTCACTGGACTATCTATCTAGCAAGCTACTGTGATGTGATCCATAAGTCTTAATTCTGTATTCTTTACAGGCCATCTGTAACCCATAGAAACAATTTGAATGAGCCGTATGAAAACTTACTGAAAGACAAAGAAGGACTTCAGCTATCAAAAGTGACAAACTTTGGAAAACTCAAATTAGGAGAGGCTAAAAGCATAGACGTCTTAATAGAGTAAGTTGTAATTAATTTTACTGCTTTGTAAACTTTTCACTGGTTTAACTTCATAGTTTTATTAATTATGTCTAGCATCTTAAAGTATAATGATTTTTATAAACAAACAAAGATTAATACTCATGTTTCTATTTTGGGTGTGTTTTTTTAGGAATAAAAGGAAGACCACACATTATTTAATTAGCTGCAAATTAGGTGGCTGGGATAAAGAGAAACAGTTTTGTCTTCAAGTTCCAGGAAAGGACCAGAAGTGGTCCATCACATCTGAAGCATCATCTGTTGTCCTTGAGGAAGCTGATTCTGGTCAATATACATAGATTTATTTTATTTATTATTTGATTTATACCCTGCCCCTCTAGACAGAGTCTACTCGGGGCAGCTTACAAACAGTTATAAAACATCATAAAATATAATCATATAAAAGCATCATTATTACTACTAAAATATGTCATAAAACAATCACATGATTAAATCAACAAATTTAGAAGTTCAAGATGGAGATAAAGGAAAACTAAAGAGGAAAAGAATCAAGTGTTGCTTATTTTTAGATGCTTATTTTTCTGCATGGTGCACTTGGTATAATAAATGCTTAATTTTATTATTTTCTTGTGTTTATGCATAGAAGTTAAGTCTGCACGTCTCACCAGTACTGGAGACTGTGAAAATTTTTGTACCATCCAAAGAAATAAATTTAACTGTGAAAAAGGAGAAATAAAAGAATCAGATAAGGGGGTCTCTCTGCCTCCCGGAGGAAATATTTCTGTTACAGTTTTATGTACTGCAAAGTAAGTGTAGTTTTTTTCTTCTTGCTGCTTAACATTGCATAGAATAATAATAGATTATTGATGGCTAAGACTCTAATAGATAGGGAAAAGCACATGTTAAATTAACAAACATGTTTATCCCCAGTTTATGACACAGTGCTAATGAGTTTGTCACTGCGTATTTTTTACTTCAGAAGATATGGGCTGTCTAAGAATGGCTCAAACTATGCAACATTTATGCTTAATTATTCCCTCTCTTACTCAGATATTTCAGGAAGAACTGTAATGTCCTGCAGTGTTGAAATGGAATTGCTTAATTAGCAGTTGATCTCATCAGGGAAGTAGCTGCCAGCCAAGAGGGCGTTTCAGCTCTCTGGGGTCTGCATCAATTATACTGAAAGTCTACTGAGTTAATCCTAGATTGTAGGCAGCTTTTAACAGCAAATGTGTCACTTTTCACACAGTTTGAACCAGTAAAGTGGAAGAATATAATCAAAGGCTTCTACACTAGTTAAAGTAACCAAATCTGTTGGCCATGGTTCTCTGATCTCCTAGGCCAGCATTCTAAACTCGGGCACCCTGCAAATGAGTTGGACTACAACTATCATCCCCAGTCAACATAAGCAGTAATCTAGAGGTGGTGGAAGATGTACCTCAGCCCATTTGGAGAACTTTAGGTTGCAAATGGGTTTCCCAGACTATGATATTGGACAAGTTGAATCAAGAGCATCCAAAACCAATAAAGAAAATGAGAGTTAAATGGTCATGACGAACTGGTAGAGCAAGGGCAGACAGTGGGAAGATGGATAGTGTAGCGGTCCAACAGCACATGAAACCTATGACAGATTTATAGAATAGAAATGACACTGTCTTTTCTTGGACACATTTAAGCTCTTAAGGAAACAATATTTTCTCCTTATTCCACTGTCATGACCAACAATTATTAGTTCCAGTTTTGCCTCTGAGTTTGACAATTTACAGAGTGCTAAATTTGTCTCATTTCCCTCAATTCATAAACATGATCAGATGCATCTATGCACATCATTTTCTTTTGTCACCATCTAATCTTTACTTCTGTCCCAAAGACTGTTATCCACCAAACAGTTAACATTGCTTTTGTTTTTGACTGTATTGTTCGCCTATACTGTATAGTTTGTTGTAAAGGGCAACTTTCTTGTACACCTTGACTCATTTGGAGGTTAATGAGATATCTTATCTTTCATTTTGTTCCTCAAAAGAAATCCCGGATGCTGTAGAGAACTTCTGTTGTTCTGTTTTTTGGACTGTCTTATTGGTTGTTACGTTGAAGCAACAGTAGTAACAGAAGAGGAGTTGCTAATAGCACCCACTGAACCATTTTCTCGAAGAAAATGTCAAGTCACTTCTGAGCCCCAGAACATAAGGGCCACGGTTCTTTTACCAGAATTGAAAAGGTACTGCCCATTCCATCAGGATAAATCCAGCCTCTAAAATTACTGTTTTTATTGCCTGGGAGTGGAAGTGGTGATTAAGCACTTACCTCCTATAAATGTATGCATGTTGAAGAACATAATTTATTAATTTCTTTTCATTCCAGACATTAAGGAACTTGGATTGAAATTAGAGTAAATTATACAGTGGTGCCCCGCATAGCGACGATAATCCGTTCCGGAAAAATCGTTGCTATCCGGATTCGTCGCTATGCAAAAAGAAAAAGCCCATAGGAATGCATTAAACCCCGTTTAATGCATTCCTATGGGCTTAAAACTCACCGTTATGTGAAAATCCTCCATACGGCCGCCATTTTCGCTGCCCGGAATGCGAGAAATGGGCGCGAAAACACTGCGGGTGGCCTTTTTTTCCCAGCGGCCATTTTGGAACCGCCGATCAGCTGTTTTAAAAACATCGCTATGCAAAAATCGGTAAGCGAAACAGCTTACCGATCATCGCAACGCGATTTTTTGCCATTAAAAAGATCGCAGTGCGATCGCTTTTGCGATCGCAAAAAACAAACACCACTGTATTCTTCGTTAAATGGGGCTCTCGTTAAGCGAGGCACCACTGTACATGGTTGAGTCAGTACTAATGCTTTTTGGGTTCACTTTTATGCTGGAAAAAGATTCTGAAATGTGTGACTTTGGTGCTAAACTGTTGTGACCAACCAATGAAACTGCAAAAAGTGGTACCTGACTGACTCGTTGTTGTGTTCCTTAGTTTCTGCTGTGGAGTGTGGCTTTGGAGTAACTGCAGTAGACATTGTAGTCAGTAACAGAGTGTTCTGTGACTTGGAGTTTAAATCTTATTAAAGAAATCAATCTAAACTACATAAACTGGGCTTTTATAAGTGAGGTTTGCACAGCTGTGTGTGAAAAGTCACTACAGGATGATCAACCAATTCCCCATCTAAGTCTGAAAGCAAGTAAAGTAACATTACCTCACAAAGTATCTCTTCCATAGCTAGCTGACACTTCACAGTGTGTACACAAATAAGAAAACTCGAAATATTTAGGGGGAAAATGTATAGACCGTGAAATTCTTGAAGCACTGATATACAGATAGAGTAAATTGGTATTTACTCTATTCATCAGATATTCAGGTTCCCGACATTTTGCTTGCTTAACAAACCTGTGCCCAAGTAAATTACTGTAGAGCTGGTTTGCTACTACAGCAGGTGCAAGGAAAATGTAGGCAATTGAGAGAAATATAAATACAGGAAGCAAGAGATGCATGCATGCATGCATGCATACGCACATACATACATACATACATACATACATACATACATACATACATACATACATACATACATACATACATACATACATACATACATACCAACAACACAGATACTAAGGAGCATCAGGCATCATGTAGCAGCAACAGCCACACAAATGGAAAACAGATGAGAGCAAAATAGATTTTTGTTCGTAGATTCAGACTGGCAGATGGCTGGGTGAGCACTTGGAATATTTTCTCTGTGCATCCAGTAATGTGCTTAAAGGCTAAGAAATCTATTTTTAACTTTGATATATTTTTACACTCAAGAACTTTGATATTTTAAGAAATATACTCTTTGTGTGCTTCTCTCTTTTTTGTTAATTTATTAATACAGAATAAACCTACTACTACAGAAAAAAACCTATATAAAATACAAAACAATACAATAACATATAATTACCCTTGTGCACCCATCACCTTTAGGACTAGCATTACACTTTTTTCCATCCATTTTCACTCCAAAATTTCATTGTTTCTTCTCTCAGTGTATACCCCCTCCCTTTCTAAAATACATGTTCCAAAAATACATTCCATATTTTCTTAAAATCGTTATTTTTCATTTGGCCTCTACTTATTTTCATATCACATGTCAGTTTGTCGTTAATTGCCATGTCCCATAATTCTCTATACCATTCCTCCAAGTTAAATTGATTATCGTTTCTCCAGTTCCTTGCAATAATTATCCTTGCTGCCGTAATCATTATTACTATTAAATCCTTATTTTCTTTCACCAGTTGATCTTCCTTAATCAGATTCAATAAAGCTATTAACAGAGATATTTGAATATTCAATCCAATTATTTCAGATATTTCTAAAATATTAATTTCCATTCTTTCTTTTTTTCACATAACCACCACATATGTAAATATGTCCCCTTCTCTTTTTTACAACTCCAACATAATGTTGACCCGCTTTTATCCATTATATTCATTTTGACCGGCGTTAAATACCACCTCCATATTACTTTATAGCAGTTTTCTTTTATCCTTACTGACATGTTCTTCATAATTCTCTGATCCCATATTTTATTCCATTCCTTTCCTATTGCTTCTTTATCCAAATCATTTTGCCATTGTATTTTTAACCCTAAAATACCCTGTTCTACTTGAATTAATAATTTATATATTTGGCTTACAGTTCCTTTTCTTTCTGTCTTTTCCTCTTTTTGTGTGCTTCTCAAGGCTATAAACTCATATGTTTTTTGATTGAAATATGATTCACTCCAAGTTCTTTGTAATGGTTGTTGTAGGTTTTTTGGGCTGTTTAGCTAAAAACTGATACCTAAAAATATTTTTCTGACTTACAATTTATGCCTGCAGTTTAAGTTTAGCTTTCATGTTATTTTAAATATTTGTGCCTACAGTTTTTAATAGCTGTAAGACTGATTTCTGTGTAAATAAAATGTTCCTGTATCTACATAAAAAGTTACATGTTTTCAACAACGTTGAAGTATTTTTATGCTTGTGGGACATAGAAGCAATGTAGAAGAATAAAGCTTGTAGAAATAGGCTAGTGTTGCTTGGAATTCATTACAACAACAGAGCAATTTTTATTTTGATCCCTAGGTGAATTTTGATATCGTTGGGGAATGGTTATCTGCTTTCATACTGTAATTAACCTTTTAGGAACAAATGCCAGCTGTGACAAACACAGACTTTTGGTTTTTCCTAAAGTCCTATAAAAGTCTATAGAGTCCATTATAGAAATGTATTCGCAAAGGCTTCCATTGTAGAACTTCACACAGGATCTTCTGGCTTTTTTCTGAGATGACTATTAAATATACAAAACCACTACTGTATACAGTACAACATTAACTTTACGATGTTCAGTCTAAAATTTCCTTGCCTGGGTGTTTTTCTCCTTTTTCTTTTTTAGCATTGTTAATATTTTAAATTTAATGGCTATAATTGAAGTTAATAGTCATCCATAGTCACTCACGCTACTGGATGAGTGAGTATATAGGGAGTATATTTTGTCATATTTTGAGAAGCTGCAAGTACTCTGTAGACCCGCACATAGAAAAAATAATTTTAAAACATTAGATACTAGAGGCTACAAAGGGGCTTCTTCAGCTTAAAGAACTTGTATCGGATTTTTTTTCCCATGGTGGGCACACAGCAATGGGTGCAGCCCTCCAGGGGAAAAATACGTATGGCACACATAGCTCTAGATTGAGATTGCCCATCTCTGACCTAGTCAACCTATTTGTTGTGGTGGTTTATTACGAGGTTTCTTAATCATGTTAAATGAAGTCCCATTCTAACTGGCTGACTTTAATATCAGGGAACTGTTTCTCATATCTAGAAAATAAATTTCTGATACTATTTTCCTGGTACCTTAGACAATCAAGAAGACAGCTACCAAATTTCATTCCACAGTACCCTGTTCCAGACAGATTAAGGAAATGTGTGGAAGAGAAATTGGATGTACTGGTTTTTCAGCCACATCTTGGAGAGGTAGGATACTGCTACAGTACATATCCCTACCAAGTGACTCAACAATGTATAGTTCAGATAAACTTGCAGTTTTCCCTGTTTGTTTAGCATCCTCCTTATAAAAAATGACTGAGTGATGACTGTTTTTAATGCCAGTTGAATTTCGTAGTGCTTCAGAATGTGAGGAGGACTGAAGAATGTGAAATAATAACATTGGAGTGTAATACATGAGAATTGCAATATTCCCCTGCTACTTATGGCAAAAAAAGGCATGGAAAGAGCTGTCTACTGGTCTTGCCCTTCTTCTGGGATTTCCAGGAGCATTTGTTTGGCAATTGGATTAGAACATTGGACTAGACTGCATACAGTTGTGGTCGCTGCACCTCAAAAAAGACATAGTGGAACTGGAAAAAGTGCAGAAGAGCACCTAAAATGATGACTGAGCTGGGGGGGCACTTTATTTATTTATTTATTTATTTATTTATTTATTTATTTATTACCCCCCTATCTGGTCATTACGACCACTCTTGGCAGCTTCCAAACCAAAAAAAAATAACATATGAAAACATATAAATATGCCAAGATAAAAAAGAAATTATAAATCAATAAGCAGATTCTTCAAGATGGAAAAAGACAACAGGAGATAAAGAAGAAAAAATTAAGTATTAACCAGAGGGAAGGCCTGCTTAAACATCCAAGTTTTTAGTTGGGTCTTAAAAATACCCAGCGATGGAGCCGCACAAATGGCTGGAGGAAGGTTGTTCCAGAGGAAGGTTGAGGAACAACTATAATGTTTGGGGCTCTTTAGTCCAGAGAAAAGGTGTCTGAGGGGGGACATGATTGAGAGGTATAAAATTATGCAGGGGATGAATAAAGTAGATAGAGGGAAGCTATTTTCCCTCTCACACAATACCAGGGGATATTGAGTGTTGGAAGAGTGAGAATAGACAAAAGAAAATACTTCTTTATCCTGTGTGTTGTTAGTCTAGGATGTGGTAATGGCATCTGGCCTAGATAATTTTAAAAGGGGATTGGACAGATTTCTGGAGGAAAAGTCAGTCACAGGTTACAAGCCATGATGGGGATGTATAATCTCCGGGCTTAGAAAGAAGGTACCTCGAAATGCCAGATGCAGGGGAGGGGTATCAGGAGACAGGTATCTAGTTATCTTGTGTGCTCCCAGAGGCATCTGGTGAGATACAGGAAGCTGGTATAGATGGGCCCTTGGCCTGATCTAGCAGGGCTCTTCTTATGTTCTTAGTCTAAATTTTATCTAGCAAGGCTCTTAAGTTCTTCAGCAAAGGATGAGCAAATGTAAAAGTGGTCTTTTTCTTTCAAACCAGCAGAGAGGAAATAGTGCAAATCCTCCTTCAAGCTTTGCTATTCAATGACTCCGCTAAGATGCTCGTAGAGCTAGGACCCTCAATACAAAAGCCCCTAGGAAATATAAATACAGTGGTGCCTCACATAACGGGTGCCCCGTTTAACGACGAATTCGCATAGGGATTAAGAATTTGCAATGGCTTAACAATGTTTCCTGTGGGGGAAAATCGCTAAGAATTTGCAATCGCATAACAATGTTTCCTGTGGGGGGAAATCGCTTTGTGATTATCGGTAAGCTGTTTCGCTTACCGATTTTCGCATTGCGATATTTTCTCCTAGCTGATCGGCAGTTCCAAAATGGCCGCCGGGTAAAACAGGGACGGATTCCTCGCTTACCAGACAGCTAAAATGGCCGCCGTATGGAGGATTTTCGCTTAAAAGGTACATTTTAAGCCCATAGGAACGCATTAAACGGGTTTTAATGCATTCCTATGCGCTTTTTAATTTCGTATAGCAACAATTTTTGCTGCACGGATTATCGTCGCTATGCGGGGCACCACTGTACAAGTGTTTTTTTTTCCATGGTTGATCATGATGACCTGGTTGATTATGTCTGAATCGGAATGGTCATGTCTTTCCTCCACTATCTGATATGTAATGATGCAACTTGACATCAGGGACAAAGGGAACCCAGGGTCTTGGGAACTACGAATTCTCTAGTGGAAGACTCCACTGAGAATGAGTTTCAGCTTTTCACTACCCAGATCAGAAGGTGCAGGAACTGTGATGCTGAAAGTTTTTGTTGGGTCCAAGGCTCTTTATCATCAGTCTCGTTTCTGTTCTCTGTCCAGGTCAGATCTGTGCAAGCTCTGTTTCTTTCCTGGTCTCTTAGATTTTTGCACTTCAGTTAAAAAAAACTTTTCTCTGTCTTTCTTTAGTCATCCCTTCTTTTGCAGTGGTTAATGGGACAAAGTTATGTGCTGCTCTTTCTGTTTCCTAGTAGCTGGCCTCCATGGACTTTGATACACACTACAGAGTGGCCTTCTCCAGGAGTTTTAGACTGCATCCTCAGTCATTCCAGACCATTGGCCACATTGACTGGGTCTGATCACAGTTGTATTTCAGACTTTTTTGGAGGGCAACAGATTGGGAAAGAGTGACCTGGATTGTCTATTCATTTTTCCTTCAGATAATTCCCCATGGTTCTGTTTTTTGTATGATGGGAGTTTGACACTTCTGTGTAGTAAGAGATGCTTACAGAGAGAATGAATACCCAATATAGTTTTCTACCTACTTCCCAGAAAACAAAATCTTACTTCCTTGAATACACTGTTCCATGACATTTAATGTATTTTACAGACTCTGTAACAAAAATCATGTCAAAATCTCTTTCATTTCAGGTTCTAACTCTAGAGAATTATAAAGCAATTTTTTCCACTCTATTGTGGCTTGAGGAAGTTCATGAAGAGATGGATATGAAGGATTTCTCCATGTGTGGAGTGATCTTGAAAAAGAATGGGGAGTTCCTGGTACTTGAAGTCCCAGGGGTTTCAGAGGGCCGTCCTTCTTTAAATCCAGGTGTCAAATTTCTAGTCTTAAACAGTATTATTTTGTAGTCAGTTAGATGGTATTAAATGATCTTTTTAACAGCTTTCTGACAATTTTCAAAGGTAGTGAAATAATTTGGTTTCTTGCTTTGGATATAAACTTGAACTTCATTTTTTATCTTAAAGATCCCATATGCCCAATGTTACACATGTTTTACCTACTGTTTGTTCTCAATTACTTCCCAGGATGACTGAAAATATTAGAGATGCCATACCTGGCTACAATAAGTACTCTTCTTGTATATGAGATAGATGAAGCTAGAATACTATGCTGACCATTGTGTCCATAATATCATAATATGCTTTTAGTTCTTGTTCAATTTCATATGTAGAGAATAGACACTTAATTGTTATAATTTATATGCAGGAAAAAAAAACCTCTCTCACTTATTTTAATGTAGGTGACAAAGTTATGTTAAAGACCCAAGCCTTCTCAGAGTATGTAATCCAATATGTTGCATTCATTACTGAGGTGAGTTAGCAGACTGGATTTGCTTTATCTGACTGTTTCTGTTTAACGACATAGTCCTATCTATATCTGTGCAGAAGGAAATACTGTGTTCAGTGAAGTTTATTGCCAAATAAGCAGTAGGTTACCTAATTGCAGCTTACAATTTCTCGATAAAACTGAATTTACGGTAAGTTTTAAGAAATTCTCATCAATTCAGATTTAACCTCTGCAGATTTCAGCAGTTGTTCCTCAGTTCTCTCTAACCATCAGCTAGGTTAGAGCAAACGTTTTGCTGATAGAACAGGTTTTTTTCGGTTAAATTCTTTCTTAGTTACCTCCCAATTTTTATTATCTTTCAAAAATATAATATAGTTTATTCATTGTCAGTTCCCTATTGTTTATGGCCTCAAAGGCCCCATTTAAGCACTGTGTATCATGCAGCAGCAAGATACTGCTAACAGACGGTCACAAAACGTGCCTATACATCCTGAATGAGGGACACCAAATCCAGAATTGTGAGATCTGTGATAACATTACTAAAGTGGCACTTAAAAACAGGCTGTCATGGCTGAAGTTCTTTTGGGAGCAGTCACTCAAAGCTGTAGACTCAGTCTCAAAGGATCAGGCTTTTCACAATCCTCTTTTAAAGTCTGCTTATTAGCTATTCTGACTCATCCAAAGGTTCAAAATCAAAACTTTTTTTTTCAAATTCCTTAGTAAAGAGGTTTCTACAAGGTTTAAACAATATTTACCCAGACATAAAACCACTAACACCACAATGGTCCTTGTCAGTGGTTTAGCTCAATTAACAAAGCCTCCATTTGAACTTATTGACTTTCAAAACTGCATTCTTGGTAGCTATGACCGGCTAGGTGAGGAAGCAAATTGGCTGCACTGCATTGCAATAAACCTTATTTGCAATTCCATAAAGGTAAAGTAACTTTCTTCATGGACATATCACCTAAAGTTCTTTTGAGTTTTCACACAAACAAACTTAGTCCTACTCATGTTCTTTCCATCACCAGCATCCTCTCTAGAAAGGACTGTTCACAAAATAGATGTTGGACCATGGACTTGCATTCTAAGTTAATAAAACATGTCCTTTTAGGAAAACTAACAGACTCTTTATTTGCTACCAGGGAGACAATAAGGGTGAAAAAATGTCATCAGAATGAGTGTCTTAAGTGGGTAGTGAAAGCAATCTCATTGTCCAATGAGCTACACAAATGCCCCATACCAATTTCCTTAATGGCACATTTCATATGGATAGTGGCAGTATCTACCACCCTTTTAAAAGAATCCAACTGCAGGACAGTTGCAAGGCTGCAACTTGGTCACAACCTATGACTTTTATTAACCCTTACAGGTTGCATGTTAGAGCCAAACTGAATGCATTGTTCAGTGGTCTGGTGCTGTCTTCTATGCTTGTGTGATATCCCACCAGCCAGTAAGTTAGTTTGGGAATCACCTATGTCTGTGAATCACAGAGTCCATAAAGAAGGACTGCTTGCTGGCCGGCTGGGCCTGGCTGATTTACACTGTTCTTCAAGTAGACATCTGAATTCACACAACTCACCCTTCGCCTGTCATACTACTTCCACTTGTGTTGGATAGAGAGAACTGAGGAAGGACCACTGGATGGAGCAGTATATTAGCTGAGTGGGAGGGATAAAGCTCTAGATTGTTCCTGAGAGTAAACACTGTGCAGGCACATATGTACCCATAGATGTGAATTCACAGATGACCATTCAAACAACCACAGTCACAGGAAGGTAAGCTATCATGCATAGTTTCTGAAGTCTACGTGTTGTAGCAGATTACAGAAGTAGATTATCTTTTTCTTCTGATATACAGATTCATGATGATGATGTCACTTTGAAGGTTAACCAAGAGTTTGGACATGCTTATAATTTTGAACCCATGGATGTGGAATTTACTTTTAGCAGGTATTTTTTTTCCCTTCATGTTATATTTGAATTCATTAGCACTTCTTTCTGGAGAAATGAATGGTATTGTCTGCCTCTTGTTCTAACAAGTACACCTGCAACATTTCAAAGGATGAAAACAAATTGGTCCTTTTAAAAAATCTTTTTAGGAACAAATGCTGACATTCAGTAGTAAGATGCAACTAAAGTAGGACCATTGAATCAGTGGACCTTACAGAGGAATTGAGGTACCAAGTCCATACTGATCAATGGGTCTACTCTAGTTGTGACTTTTTGCTGCTAGGTTTCAGGAATAGTGTACATGTCTTTTATTTTTCAATTTGAGATGAGTACTTTTCATGTAACGTTAAGGTAATGTCAGATAATATATTTTTGAGGAAAATTTTTTAGAGCTGCTAACTTGAATGGGCAAAACAGAAGCTGGTTGGTTAAGAAGTATATCTTCTGCCCAATGTAAATGCAGCAGTAGTATAAGACAAAATATACTGATTATATACAATGGTATGATTTCTTTGCTGATAAAGTTTTAGTTTGTGTTCTGCTCTTGTGATAGGACTACCAGCCGGAGATGTCATTTTGCAGTAGAACAAGCCATCCATTTAGGAGAAAAAGGTGGGAAATGTTTTCTCCTACAGTCAATGTTGTAACGTTACTGGGAAAGTGAGGCGTGCTTGAAACAAATTTATGCAGAGGCTGCTTCAATTAGGGCTGGTTTTCTTCCAGCAACTGCTGATAGTGACTTGTGTAACTATTCCAGGCTAGTTCCAAAATGAACTGCTGATGGATATTGAACCACTGATGCAATCAAACAGATTATCTTTTCATCTATTATAGGGGATAAGCAAAGTGCACAGCCTGATGGCTTCCAATGCAGACCAGTAACACCCTCACCCAAAGGCATTTTGACCTTGGAAGTCTTCCCCATGCCCCTGAAGTTTTAAAAAAAAACGTTAGAAGACCCCTCATGTTCATTGGAGGGAGCAGAAGACCATTTTCCTGTGTTTGTTTACATCATCTATTTCAGGGCCTGGTAGAGGTGATTATTTTGAAAAACAAAAGTGTGCTAGTCATTTCTAAATTTGGAAATCCCTGTCTAACTTACAGCAGTTCTGGGGGGAATGTTGCCACATTGGTCCCAGAGGAGGGTACCAAGGGCCTTTTTAAGTAAAGGAAACTGAGGACATAGGGGCAGCCTACAAGGTCCAGGGCCTACCCTCAATGGGTCATCTTAAAGATAGGCACAAACTGCCAGTTCAGAGGTTCGTGCTAGTTTATTTTTCAGCCAAACAGGCATTTGGTGCTTCTCAGCCCCACCTCCTCTAGTTTGTGCCCAGTCAGAGGCAGTATGTGGAGGGGGTGGGCAGGGAAGCTGGGGCACGGCCTCTTATTGGGTGCCCACTGGCAGAGGCAGGACTGGGAAGTGCCAGACACCTATTTAGATGAAAAACAAAGCAGCACAATACAGTGGTGCCTCTCATAGCGAGGTTAATCCATTCCGGATTCACCTTCGCTATAGCGAAACATCGCTGAACGGATCAAAAAAACCCATTGGAACGCATTAAACGGTGTTCCAAATGCGCCGAAAACTCACCGTTCAGCGATGCTTCCTATGGCCGGCAGCCATTTTCACGCCCTTGTTAAGTGAGGGGAGGGCGCGAAAATGCTGCGCGTGGCCATTTTGGGCCATTTCCAGGCTTCCGGCGGCCATTTTGGCAGCCGAACAGCTGATCGTCGGGGTTCGTTTTGCGAAGATCGGTAAGCGAAACGCTTGCCGATCTTCGCAAAGCGAGTTTCTCCCTATCTAAACAACGTTGAGCGATCGCATTAGCGATCCCAAAAAAGGGATTGCTATGCGATTTCGTCGTTGTGTGAAGATCTCGTTAAGCGAAGCACCACTGTACGTTGAACCGGTGATTTGTTCCCATCTCTAAAGTAAGCAAATGGTTCTCAAACTTGGGTCCCAGACATTCAAGAAACTTCTAAAGCTGAGCATTGGTTTGGTGTGCCCTCTCCCTCTGCTGTGCATGTGAAGAAGCTTTCCCTCTCTCTTTCTCTGAATTCCTTTTTTGCTGAAAGAGCAGCAGTGTTTATTCTCATAAGTTATCCAGACTAGCCTTCTGCTTTTTATATATTGTAATGAAAGAAGATGGTTGGGATTAGGTAGGGATGGAATGTGGTGCTTGTAATAGTAATTCTGTTCAGGTTTTGTTGTATCCAACATTGTCAAAATGCGTAGAACGGTGCACCTAGCCCTGCCTCCTTTCTTCACACTTGAAGTGCTGAGTGTGAAGAGATGGGTTTTTTTGCTTACATGTAGACTATCCGTGCAACCAAGAATTCTGATTTTCAAGGATTCTTGTCCGTGTTCATAGCCTGCCCCGCGCACGGACCCCACACACCCCCCAACTGGTCCGCAATTTGAAAAAGGTTGGGGACCACTGCTCTAAAGGCTATAGGAAGGCAAGATTTTTTGTATCTTTAGTAATATTTGTGCTTATTGAATAACTCTGTTGGCAAATGGTTGACCATTTATGTTTATCATCTTTTTCTCCAAGTATTATTTCCTGATAGTGTCACTCTGCAGTCTCCACAAATTGTCAAGCAATGGCAAGATTCAGAATGTTCTTACAATGATCAAGAACAAAGCACCACACAGGAAACTAAGGTGAATCTATAGTAGTAATCTGTTACTAAGTTTTCAATTATCTTATTTACTACGATATTGTTCTAAAGATGAACCTGTCCGTATATAAGAAAAATACCCCCCCCCAAAAAAAAATAGTGGTTTGGTGCTGTAGATGACTTACTCTTATTTTAGGTTTTGTACATGGCTGTTGATATCAAAATATCAGGCAGGTGATAATAAGGAGTGATAGAGTAGCTGGTTTCTGTTCTGAAAATACTGTAGTTCTTGAAAGTAAGTTAGTAGTTCATACCTAGCTTTTTCCTGTTTCATAACTGCAGCAATCCTGTATTTTTCACCCTAGAATACTTTCGTGATTGTTTTTGCTTTTGACATAGAACTAATGAGTGTTTCTACAAAAGCAAATTAGAGCAACGCCTTCTGATGCTATGCTGAATAGCAAAAGTTTTGATACCGCAAAGCTTTCCTTTCAGAAGTCATATTATAAAATCAGATATTACTCTGGTTCACTCAGATAAGTACTGTACATACTCAGCATGGTTGGCACAATTTGTATGCTATACTCGTAAATAGAGATGGGGGTGCAGGGTATACCCCTGCGCAGGTGGATATAACGAAGGTCTGGCCCCCTGGGGCTGGATCGTCCACTCACCTGTCCGCTAGTGCAGCCAGCTCCGTGCTCCCTTCCAATCGTTCAGGAGCTCACGATTGACTAGTCACTCCTGGCAGAAAAAGGGAAGACAAGCCTCCTTGCCAGGCTGATGAGTGGCTAGTAGACCACGAGCTCAAGAGCAATTGGAAGGGACCACAGCAGCGGATGGGTGAGTGGACAGTCTGGCCCCAGGGGGCCGGACCCTTGTTATGTCCACCTATACAGGGGTATTCATATATGAATACAAATACAGTGGTGCCTCTCAAGATAAATGTAATTCATTCTGCGAGTAGTGCCGTCTTGCGAAAAGTGGTTTCCCATAGGAATGTATTGCAATGCATTCCTATGGGAACTTTGCAAGACGAATGAATTTTTTTCGTCTTGCGAGGCATCGGTCTTGAAAAAAATCGTCTTGCAAAACATGGCCGTAGAAGAAGCCGTCTTGCAAGGCACCATAGCGATCGCAAAAACCTTTCGTCTTGCAAGGCATTTGTTTTGCGAGGCACCACTGTACTTCCGTCTTGGAAGGCATTTGTTTTGCGAGGCACCACTTGTACCGCCATCTCTACTCATAAATCCCTGGTGAAAAAAATTATTCTAAGAGACATGATGTTTCTCTGCTCATAGTTATTTTGGCAGCTACATGCAAAACTTGTTCCCTAAAGTTTGCTGACTGCTTACACACCTCAGTTGTGCAGTCAGTGTTTCCTAAAACCTCTTTCTCTTCTCCTGGAATACTCTTTCTGCTTTGCTTGCTCTAAACCTAAAAACTTAGTTTGTAGACTTTGTTCTTTCCCTTTCCCTGTGGAGCAAAATTCTTTCCTATCCTTGTTTTCTTTAATAAAATAAAAGCCAGTGTGGGGAGAATATTTATTTATTTATTTATTTAACATCATTTGTAGGCTATGTTTTTTCCAATGAGGAGACTCAAGATAGCTCACAATGTTAAGACAAGTAAAATTAAGTACACAATAAATTACACATTTAAAGGCAATTAAAATGTAGCAATAATTAAAATACATTAAGTACTTTAAAACATGTAAAACTTTAAAAGCAAAACTTAGCTAAAAAACCACCATCGAGTGACTCACTTATGGTTATTTAAAACCCTGCCTGAAGAGGTGGGCCTTCAACTCGGCAGAAAGAGAAAGGAGAAGGGGGCTAACGTAACTCCCAAGAGAGAGCGTTCTACAATCTGGGAGCAGCCACAGAGAAGGTCTCCTTTCATGTCTCTATCAAATGTGCCTGCAGTAGCAATGGAACTGAAAGGAGGGCCTCCTCTGAAGATCTTAAGGGTTGGGAAGGGTCATAAGGGGAGATACGGTTATTCAGATAGCTTGGACCCAAACTGTATAGGCCTTTATAAGTAATAACCAACACTTTAAATTGAGCCTAGAATGGACTGGGAGCCAGTGCAGTTGCTGTAGCAGGGGTGTTTTATGCTCCCTATAACTGGTCTAAGCAGCTGAAGTTTCCAAACTATCCTCAAAGGCAGCCCTGTGTAGAGTGCATTAGAACAGTGGTCCCCAACCTTTTCCGAACCGTGGACTGGTTGGGGGGGTATCTGCGGGAGGCGGGGCACCCCCTGCGCTCACAGGGTGTGTGGTGTGCTCGTGCGCGTGCATGGATGGGGCACACTCACATGCGCAGATGGGCAGGGCGTGCTCATGGGTGGGTGGGTGTTTCTCGTGTGCAGGCACCCGTTCAGGTGGACGGGCCGTGCAGGAGGACGGGAGATCTGTCTCCGCGGCCTGGTCCTGCCAAGGCCATGGACCAGCACTGGGCCGCAGATCGGGGGTTGGGGACCCCAGCATTCTAGAAATCTAAGCACACTGTAACTAGGGCATGTGTCACTGTAGCCACATATCTCAAGGAACAGGCACAGCTGACCTACCAGTTTTAACTATGTAAGTGCAGTCCTGGGCATCCACACTCAGGGATAAATCCAGGAGTATTCCCAAGCTGCGTTTTCAGGGGAGTGTAACTCCATCCAGCACACATTGCTTATTCCTTCATCTGCCTTACAATTTACCAAGGGCACTTCTGTCTTATTTTGATTAAGTTTCAGTTTGTTTGCACTCAGCTAGCCCATTACTGATACCAGACACCTATTTGGAACCAAGACAGCCTCTCTGGAATTAGATGGAAAAGACAGGTAGAGTTGGTTGTCATCAGCATACTGGTTACATTGAACTCCAGGCGGTCTCTCCCAGCAGTGTCATGTACAGTGGTACCTCGCAAGACGACGACCCCACTGAATGACGAATCCACATTACGATGACTTTTTGCGATTGCTATAGCGATTCACAAAACAGTCATTCCAATGGGCGATTTTCACTTAGTGATGATTTGGTCCGTGCTTCGCAAACCGTTTGTTCACAAGACGACAAATTTTATGGCTCCGCAAAATGGCTGCCCTGTGTTTTCCGGACCCATGCTTCGCAGGGGAGCCATTTTTACAGCTGATCAGCGCTCACAAAATGGCTTCCCTATGGGCGATCTTTGCTGGACAACAAGGTATTTTCCCCATTGGAACACATTAAACGGGTTTCAATGCATTCCAATGGGGAAACTGATTTTGCATGACGACGATTTTGCTAAACAGTGATTTTCCCAGAACGGAGTATCGTCATCATGTGGGGCACCACTGTATATGTTAAAGAGCATGGGGACAAAGCCAAATCCTGAGGGATGTTGCAGGCCAACAACCATGGCATCAGGCAGGAGTTCCCAAGCATCACTTTCTGAGTTTACCCCCCCCCCCAAAGGACTGGAGCCACTGTAAAGTGGCACCTCCAGGTTCCACCTCAGAAAGGTGGCCTGAAAATACCATGGTCAATAACTGCTGAAAGGTCCAGCAAAGCAAACAGGGACACACTCCCCCTATCCAGTTCCTAGCATAAGAACAGAAAATAGCAGCAAATTTTCATATATTTGCATTAAAGAACCTTATTAGTATTAATTTTTTCAAACTTTCTGAAAAATAAATGTCCACTAAGGAAACTTTGTTGGGGTTTTCAAAATATATCTGTGAATTATCTCTGCATTACAATTGTTAGGTTTTTATTCCAGAGCAATGACCAACCTCAAATTTTGGACATACGCTACTATTTTAAAGATCTGTAAATCTGTTTTTCTTCTTTTGCTACTTCCAGAACATCAAGGTGCAAAATAAGAGTGAAAAAGAGATGTCAAAAGACAAAAAGACAGTTGTGCTTTCTGATATGGTGGCTGTTGCTACACAAACAAGTTGGTATTATTTTATCTTTTATTGTATCGAACTTTAATTGTTGTGAGCCGCCCAGAGACCTCTGGGTGGAGTGGGTGGCATAGAAATTAAATAAACAAACAAATAAATAAATTATTTTAACGTTTTCTTCATTTTTGCTAATATAAGAAGGTTTCATAGAGGCAGGAAAGGCACCTCATCTTTTACTGTATTTTAGAATATGCTGTCTCTATTTGATGAATATTATTTTAGGTTTTTGTAAGTATATCATAAATACAAAAAAAATCAAGAGTTTAAAAAAAATTCACAGTCCAGAAAGTAATAATTATTTTTAATATACATATTTTTAATCTAGTAAATGAATCCTCATCCTTTAATAGAAGAGGCTGTCGCTTTTTCAATCCACTGCTGAATGAGCATCAGAAACTAGCAGTCAAAAGGATACTTAGTGGTGAATGCAAGCCAACCCCTTATATTGTTTTTGGACCCCCAGGAACGGGTAAAACAGTCACTATCATTGAAGCAGTTTTACAGGTAAAAGTGAAGAATAATATAATTCGGTTTTCTCCAGCTTTGCTTCTAATAATTCTCACTCATTCTTAAAAAAATTGTCAGATAAGGCATTGTAGTTGTAGTTGAATTCCCCTTTTAAAGAGAAAGCCAAGGTTGAAGATAATATGATCTGCTGCAGCTACAATGAAATCATTTTGGGAAAAAAAATAATTCCACTGACATTGGTGTGATTGCTGTATTGAATTGAAGACAAACAACTTTTTACGCTCCGGAAGTCTGTCAATGGAGACCTTTTATGGTGGATCAAAGTTTTAAAAACTTACTAAGTTTTAATAGTTAGATAATTGGGGTAGTTTGAAGGTAATAATATTCTTATCTGGATGTCTAGAATTTTTGGCCTCTCTTCATAAATTTCATTCTTCCTTAATAGTAAATACTAAATTAATAGTATATGGAACTTCAGCGAGTCCAGAATGACAGTACAGTAGGACCACCTACTGAGAACCTGTGGTTTCACTTATCCACCACCTGAAAATATTAAATAACCACCTCACCCCCAGAATTACACATTATTACAAGAACTGGCCACTAGAGGGAACCAGAGACTATGCTATATATAGTATTTGCATACCCATGCTTTTTGCCATGTGTGGGGGAGGGGGCCTGGAATGGATCCCCTCTGGATGCGGAGGTCCTGCTGTATTAAGCGTGCTGTAGAGCAATCCTGTCTCAAAGATGTGCTGATGAAGTAGAGGTTAGGATTAGGCATGTGCTCTTTCTGCCGGCAGAAATCATCTTTTCCCAGCAAAAGTGATCAGCCAACAGAATTGCTAAGCAGGTACGAGAATTGCTGAAAAGAGTTGGGAGAAAGAGTAGCAGGAGGGAAAATCTCACTGTATTAAGAATATTCTCCAAAATGAAAGATATGAAAGATTGCTGTGGATTTCTTTTAAAACTTTAGATACATTACAACTTACCAGACAGCCGAATACTGGTCTGTGCACCATCAAACAGTGCAACAGATCTTGTTTGTTCACGACTTCATGACAGTAACATGTTAAAGCCAGGAGTAATGGTGCGAGTTAATGCTTCCAGCAGAAATGAAGAGGTAAAGACTATTCCATATAATTTTATTCTGCCTTAATTGCATTAGCAGATAAAAAGTTCCTTTAAGTTCAGCATTGGCTGTATGTAGTAAAGTTTTGCTGAATGTGCTTTTCAATGCTGTTTCTTTGCATTTTCTCTCAGTAATGTTTTGTTTTCCACTCAGCTACCATTACTTACTGATGTGCCCTTCTGGGTACCATAAATCTTAATCCTGCCTCTGGTGACAGTTTGGACACAGAACTGCATCCATTTTAAGAGGAAACGGGACCAAGCCCAATTATCCTGTACAGGGAGACCCTTAAGCAGGGAACCCATGCAATGGCTGTGCAAGTGGTGCATCCCATTTACTTCCTAGGAGACTCTGGGGTCGGTGGGTCATCAGGTTGGCCGATGCTGGATCCAGTGCATTAAGGCTCTTTTGCTGTGTTCAGTTTATAACCATATTTGTATCTTGTCAAAATTATGTACAGTACACTCATTTCCATGCTGATTGCAGTCTAAAACCCTGTCCATGCTGATAGCCTTGCAAATATTCTCTGAGTGGGATATTTTCAGAATGTGTAGATCTTCCAGATAAGTCCAGTAAGTAGCTTGTGTAGATGTGTAGATCTTCCAGGTAAGTCCAGTAAGTAGCTTGAGTTCAGTAAATTCCTGTTGAGCAGTATTGTTTTTGTAAAAAGATTGAAAGAAGACAATTTAAATGGGATTTCTTCACTAACAATAATGTTGTATGGCAAGAACACAGTGGGTGAATACAACTTCCTCAGAGAACAACTTCAAAAATCAACCTAGAATAACTTTACATGCTGGACAACTATGTCAGACATATCATAGTAATCAGAGCATTTCTTGTGGCTCTTAAAATCCTCCCCTCCTGCCTTAGCAAAGCAAAACAGAGTCTCTAGTCTCTTGTGGAGGGTGGCAGAACATCTGTTTTTGTTTCACTGTGCAGCTGAAGAACAGTTGGTAAGCCTTGCTGTATCCTCTCTGCACTTGAATACTGAAAAGGTGTGCAGTTCAGGACAGGAATTTTTGGAGAGTATGCAATCAGAGGACTTAATGGCTAATGTGAGAAGGAGGTAGAAATTACATCAAAAAGTGAGCCATCCCCTCAAGCACCCGAGGTAGAACGAAATGTAGAGCCAGAAAGGGAGTTAGGAGCGAGACACAAGGAAAAGCAAGTGACAGACACGCACGCCAGTGAGGAAGGAAAGACCCGCGCAACGGAGATAGGAGAGGTTCAAGGCAGGGAAAGTGCACGCCAGTGAGGAAGGAAAGACCTGCGCGACGGAGATAGGAGAGGTTCACGGCAGGGAAAGCTGTGAGCGAGGGAAACGGATGAAATGGTCAGAAACAACGGTGGCCAGAGAAGGAGTAGAGTGGGAAAGCGACAGGGAGAGAGTGAACATGTTCTTGATGATGGAGGAAAGGAATATATCAAAAGAGAGAAGTTAACCGTAATTAAAGAGAAGGCATTTGAAACATCTGACGAGGAGGTACAGTACATGTCTTTCCGATCCCACAAAAAAGAGCCGCGGAAGGTGATGTTGATGAAGGAACTAGTGGCTCTGCGAAGGGGAAAGTTAGACCTATAATTCCTGGTCTTAGTCCTGAAGAATGGACGGTTCTAGTATATTCCAGGGCTCACGGTCCAGAGAAAATGGTACATCAATTGGATCCTATAATAGAGAGCTGTCGAAGGAGGGAGAATGGGACCGTCACCCATGTTGCAGGACTCTGTGCATGGTTCGCAACAGGTTTATGAGAATGCCTACCGAGAAGGAGAAGGCAGCAAAAAACTATTATTGAAAGATTTACCTAATGAAAAATCTATGGCTTGGTTTTGGGAAGATTCTCCACCCCAGTTGATATTACAAACCCCTGTTGAAGTTAATAAAGGAATTAATGCCAGTTGTGTTAATAAAAATACTTCATTGCATAATTTAGACTCATCGTTTGTATTATCTGAAAGAGAACAGCACAAGAGCAATCCTGAACCCACAGCTAAGACTTCTCTAAATACAGTGGGATGAAACTTGCACATTCTTGCTGTCTATACACTAATGAAAAGAAGGTTCTTGTAGAGTTTTTCTATACCAGAGCAAAGTCATGTTTTGGATGGTGGACAAGGGTGCTTGTAGTGTATTTTTTATGTTAGAGTACCTTGGGAATTCTTACTTAAAAGGGGAGATACTGTAAGTATAAAACAAGTAAATGTAGTCTTTGCAAGTAAATGTAGTAAACTTTGCAACGTTTCACCACTAGGAAAAACATCTTTTTTTTAGATCTTCAAATTTATATTTTATTGTTTAATCATGTGCCATCAAGTTAATTCAGATTTATGGTGACCCTTTTTCAGGGTTTTCCAGGTAGAGAATATTCAGAAGTTGTTTCCACTTCCTTCTTCTTTAGGTATCCTGAGACTCTGCAGCTTGCCCAATGCTCCACAGGCTGGCTCTACTCAGAGGAGGCTCAACTTTTGCACAGTACAGAATTGAACACCCAGTCTTTGGCTCTGCAGCCAGATATGTAAACCACTGAGCTGTGTGGATAGCTGAGTGGCTTAGGTGTCTGGCTACAGAGCCAGAGGTTGGGAGTTCAGTTTTCCACTGTGCAAGAATTGAGCCAACCTCTGTGTCCTTGGGTAAGCTGCAGAGTTCGAGGGCACCCCCAGAAGAAGGGAACGGTAAAAGAATTGAGCCAACCTGTGTGGCCTTGGGTAAGCTGCAGAGTTCCAGGGCACCCCCAGAAGAAGGGAACGGTAAACCACTTCCGAGTATTCTCTACCTGCAAAACCCTGAAAAAGAGGTGTGTGTTTTTAAAATAAACTGACAGTAGTTTAAATTTAAGAATTTATAGTCTGTATTGTCTGCACATTATCTGCACTTGTCATAGGTACAACCTGTGATGGAAATACTTACAGTTCAATTGTTTGTGTTAACAGAGTCTTAGTGAGGTAATAAAGCTTTACTGCAAAGATGGAGAAGACATTTGGCAAGCATCTCGGTTCAGGATCATTATTGTAACATGCAGCAGTGCAGGAATGTTCTACCAAATAGGAATAAGGTGATGTGGATGGTTGCTTTCTTCTATTTTTTTTTAAAATTGTGCAGTGTTCAGAACATGATTGGGTTTAAGATCAGAGAAATTTGCTACAGTCTAGTTCTATGAACAATAAACAGTTAGGCCTGAAAGAACTTTACTGCTGTCAGGAGATTGAAAAGATCCTTATTCTCACTATGTTTCACAGTAAATTGTGTCAGGGATATTTTAGTATATCATCTTAATATCATAAACCCCCACTAAGCGAAGGAGCTCACTGAGTGACCTTAAACTAATCATTACTTATCAGCATACTCTACCTCACAGTATGGTTGTGGGGATTAGTTGCCTTTTGTAGATGGAAAATCCTATACATGCTGTTGTGACTTCCAGTATCTCCTGGCACTTCAGAGGGGTTCCCTCCCTCCATCTCTACATCCACACAAACTGAAGAAAAGCAGAAACTTTAACAGGGTGTATCAAAACTGGGAGGGAGTGTGAGACAATAGACTGTTATAAGTAAACCTCGTAACTTCAGTTCCAGTGTTGTGCTCTGAGTCTCGTACTATCTCAGACCAATGGCTCTAGTCTCATGGGAAGACCCCAGTTCCTTTCATTGAGTCCCCAGTCTATAACAATCATTCCACCCAATTGCTTTCATTCTCCAGAGGGAGGATCAGTATGCCCACACCAAGGACAAACATGGCAGGCCTCTTCCATAATTGCCTCAACCCTTTTCTCCCTTCGGAGTGGGTGGTTCTCTTTCCCTGCATGCACCTTACACAAGGAGGAGGACTATACACCGCCTTCTGTTGTCTCTTTTCTCTCCTTTCTTGCTCCCCCTAATAGCAAGTTCGCTTGGGCAGCTTGTGTTCATGCTTGGAAGCTTTCCTTTTGGGCACTCGGAACTACACCCAACCTCCTTGCCAGGGATCCTCCTAGTAGATATAGTCCCACTCCCTTGGAATCATTTCTTCAGGGGACCTCAGCCCAGCAGTTAGTAAACCATTCCTCCCCACTCCTCATCCCCCATACCTACTGCTGCAGGGTTTCCCCCAGACTGGGCTGTATTCTTTGTGGTGCCTTGATCAAATTTTTCTGAACTCTGTTTCTGTCCTCCTCCTTCCTCTCTAGTGACGTCTCTTCCCTCTTTGGGTGTAAGCGCCCCCTTTTCTTTCCTGGCTTTCAAGGTTTCTACCTGCTCTTTCTCTACAGCAGTGGTTCCCAACCTTGCATCCCCAGATGTTCTTGGACTTCAACTTCTGGAAATCCTGACCAGCACAGAAGGTTTCGGGGAGCTTTAGTCTAAGAACCATCTGAGCACCCAAGTCTGGGAACCACTGCTCTACATGGTCATTCTTTTCCTCATGAGTGAAGGTGTTTGTTTCCCCTGAACCACTCTCAGCTCTCTTTTTTCTCTTCAGCCTTCCCCAGTAAGTAAAGCCTCTTTTATATTTCCGAGCCACCAGAGATAAATTGCTTCCTGCCAGTTTCTCAAGGGCTCTTCTCCTAACTCTCAACACAGATCAGATTTATGTAGCCTCTGCTTGTGTTCCTGTGTCTCTGCCTGCACTGGTCACAGTGCCTTATCACCCCACAATAACCCCTGTTTCAGGTGAAGTCAAGTGAGCAGAAGTTTCATGTCCTTGGTCCAAGAGTAATGCCTCACGAGGAGCTGTTATGACCCTTTCCTCTTCACAGCTCTTTTGTGATTAAAGTCACTGTCAGCTTCACATCTAGCTTTTGAGTTTCTGAAAGGTGTCTGGGTAGCTGTGGTTGGGAGACAGAATTCACGTCTCAATGAACAGTTTCCAGCAACAAAAATGTAGAGAAAGACTGAGTAGAAACATGGGTGTGCATGAGCTCGGGAATATACAGAGATGCCTGTTCTGTGGACAAGGCAGTTAATTTAAACAACAAAAATGAAGGAATGGTCAGATTACGCTTCTTTTCAATACAGTCTGAGAGTTATTCCTTTGATGAACTTAATGAATTATTATTTGAACTCATTAAGTAAAGGTAAAGGTTCCCCTTGACAATTTTTGTCCAGTCGTGTTCGCCCCTAGGGGCCGGTGCTCATCCCCGTTTCCAAGCCATAGAGCCAGCGTTTTGTCTGAAGACAATCTTCCGTGGTCACATGGCCAGTGCGACTTAGACACGGAACGCTGTTACCTTCCCACCGAAGTGGTCCCTATTTATCTACTTGCATTTGTATGCTTTCGAACCACTAGGTTGGTGGGAGCTGGGACAAGCGACGGGAGCTCACTCCGTTGCGTGGATTTGATCTTACGACTGCTTGGTCTTCTGACCCTGCAGCACAGGCTTCTGCGGTTTAGCACACAGCGCCACCACGTCCTAACACAGCGCCACCACGTCCTCATTAAGTGGTATAATTCAAAGCATTAATTTTATGAAATCTAATGGATAATTTCCCACCTCACATCATTTAAAAGTTACTTCCAAGGCAAATTGTGATGTTTCAAAAGTCTGTAGTCTCTTTATGGCTTGGTCCAGGCCTGACAAGAAACTGGACCTCTTTCAGAGCAATTTCTGTTACCTGTTAGTATCTGTTCTTTTCCTGACTCTTATGGATGGTTTCTCCATGCACTGCAATAGAGATGGGAGGGTTTTAAGGGCAGAATAGATACCTCCTCTAAAAACATGGGCCTTTAGCTGGATTGCTCATGAGCAGTTTATTCTTGATCTTAAAAAGGTTAGAACATATTCTCCTAAACTGAAAAGCTTGTACCTTCTGCTTGTCCAGAATTTAATAGTGGAGAAGAAACATTAAGGTCATCCATGCAATAGAAAGCCATGGGCTAAGCCAGACTCAGTTGTTTCTGCACTGAACTGGGCCTGTGCATCCATCCATTTTTATATAATTTTATCTGAAGGCATTCTGAACAAATAGTAACCAAATTACAACATATATGCAAACCAAGATGTACTCCATATTTTTACTTTAAAAACCTGGCAGTTTCCCATTTAGTGAGAAGTTCCTGGTTCACAAATTTTGAGACAGGTTTTGCTCTTTTTGAAGCACATGTTTGTTTAGACACTGCCGCAGAATGACAGAAAATATTAATAGTACATACTTTGAACATCTTTCTCCTAACTTTAGGCTTGGACACTTCACACATGTGTTTGTGGATGAAGCAGGGCAGGCGAGTGAGCCGGAATGCCTGATACCATTAGGACTGATATCAGAAGTCAGTGGGCAGGTTTGTAAGATTTTACTGTATTCCATTGAGCTGCTGTACGTTTTTTCTTCGTTGTGATAATTATTCCATAGCATATCAAAACTTCCAGCGAGAAAAAAAAATCTTCAGTACTTGGGAAGATCTTGTTTCTTCTTCATGGCCTCTGTGAATGCACACTAATGGGTTTGGTCTGCACATGCACCGAGGCCTCGGAATATTCTGGAGCTAGAAATCAATAGGACCCCCCTCCATAGCCCACGTGGTCCACCCGTCGCGACCGTTACCTCAGTTCCATTTTTTCCACTGCGGAAAGAGGTCTTGCTTCTGGAGCTCTCCTTTTGCGGTTACCTGGAACAACAATACAGCAACCTTAGATCACTGTTTTTCCTGTCTAATCGTTCGTATTTCTTCCCCGTTATTCTTCTAACAAAAAAAGGACCCTAGAATAGATATCCCCCTGTTCCCCTTTCCCCCTTCGTTTATGGCACCTAAAGTTTCGTTTAAAAGTTGTGCTTCTTGCAAGAAGAGAAGATCCCCACCCACAGACACTCATAAACTTTCTTTATTTTGTCTTGGGGAAGCCCGCCAAACTTCATCGTGCACCCACTACAGGGGTCTTACTAAACAAGCATTAAAGCGAAGAGATCAGCGCCTTTGCGTCTTTTTGTGGGAAAGATCCCTTCAGCCTCCCAGTATGGATGCCTCGTTGGCTCCACAGAGGGCTTCTTCTTCCCTGATGCCAAGTCCTATCCGTTCACCTAAGTTGAAGTCCTCTAAGTCTAAATCGAGTTCTCACGTTGATTCATCTTCCAAGATTAAGCCTAAAACTGCGCTGTACAAACCGAAGAAGGTGAAGTTGACTTCCCCGCTTCGTCCAACACTACCACAGTCCTCACCTCGGCTGGTTATTGATCTCGAGCCATATAGGGACTTAATGCCTCCAATACATGACGAGCCCTCATCCCTGCTACTCGCAGCTTCGGCTCCTCCAGCTGACACTTTGGTCGAGATGCCACTTGAGCACTCTTCAGCGCCTTCCAGCCCCAGGTCACTGGCTGGACCACCATCTTTTACGGGCTCTGGGTCCCCTTGCTCACCAGACCCCAGTATGGTAAAGAAAAAGAAGGCAAAGATTCATCATCTCAAATCGCCTGATACTGTACGCCATCGGCCTCCGAAACGCTCGTGGCCAAAAATGGCTAAGGGCTCAAGAGATCGGAAACACTGTTCCAAACATACCAGGAGCCGTACTATGACTTTCTGCCTGTACCTTACCGACGCAAGCGCCATCAGCGTTGGCGCCACGGGATGGAACAGTTCCTCAATCCCAGGATGTTTCGACTACTCGTCCAATTCGTCATCTTCGTCCTGATCATATGATTCGGACCTTCCTGATGACGGTACCTCACCTACTCCCACAGAGGCCTCCGATACCGGGTGACATAAGTGGTACCGAGATGAACGAGAACACGATGATTCACACTTGGTACCAAAGAGACAAAAAATTCAGGTTCAGTCAGTACCGTCGGTCCCCAGCAAGCCATGTGGGGCTGCTGCATCGAACGACAAACTCATGGGTACAGCGAAGGCACCTCCTGGTACCGTCACTTCTGGTACTGTGCACGGTACTAAGACTAAGCAAGCTATTCCAATGCTGGCTAAACCTAAGAAGCCTCATCGTTCTTCAGAACGTCCACCTCTATGGTACCCGTCAGAACCGTCTGATTCTTCAGCTTCACCTGACCAGGACTCTGACTCCTCCAGGTCCGTACCGATCCGGGAGTCCCCACCTAACATGAATACTCCTGACTCGGATATCGACGATGGTGACCCAACTTCTCTGGCAGCTGACTTTAAATCCTACTCTACCGTGGTACAGAGGATTGCCAAGGCTCTTGATCTCTTGGTACAGCAACTGACACAAACTGAGACGGACAAGGTTTGAGGATATTGATGAGGAACTTACTCGTCCACTCTGCTTGGCTTTCATCCCATCCTTGCTACGCATTTTCAAGCAAACCTGGGACAAACCTTTCTCTGTCCTTCAGATGTCCCGTTGGGTAGAAAGCCTATACAAAACTCATGGTACCGAGACGGAATTCCTTGCTAAGCATCCTCTTCCTAATTCAGTGGTTGTTCATGCTACTCAAGCCCGTTCTCGTTCTCAATCTAGCATTACACCGAACAACAAGGAAGGCAGGAAACTCGACATCTTAGGTCAATGGGTTTATTCCCTAGCATCATTCACCCTCCGGGCCGCTAACTATATGGCGGTAATGGGGGCTTATCACAAACACCTATGGAATTGCGCGTTGCCTTCATTACAGGCAGCCCCAGCAGAACGTAAACCTAGGGGGCTTTCTCTCTATCAAGAAGCCACTGCATTGGCTAGACAGGAAAGAGTCACTGCCAGGCATATCATTGAAGTAGCATCTAAACAACTCATGACGGGTATCGTGTTCAGATGACATGCGTGGCTGAGATCAGCCAATATTGCGGAAGGTCCAAAATGCACATAGAAGTGTTACATTTTGACGGTGTCGGCCTCTTCAACTCCAAAACTGATGACATCCTGGAGAACCTACAGAAGATGAAAAAGACAGCCCATTCATATAATGTACAACCATTTTACAGACCACAACATTATCAATGGAAGCATCAGTACCCATATCAATCCTACAATCCCTTCCCAGGAAAACAGAGGCATTTCCCGCAACAACTTACCTCATATCAGCCTCGCCAACATGACCAATGCCATCGCCCCCATCAATCCTTCAGGAAATCTGAAAGGAAACCCAAACAGAGCTTTTGACTCCCTCATTCCGGCAACCTCACTTTCATACACCACTTCTTCCACCCGCCTCGCACCCTTTTTACACAATTGGGCTCTCATCACCACAGACTCATGGGTGCTTGCCGTCATCGCGCATGGATATGCCATAGAATTCATTGATGCTCCCCTGGCTCGTGTCATTTCCATTCCTCCGTCTGCCGCTCTCAGGAAAGAAATCAAAACTATTGTTAAAGAAAGCAGCCATCTCGCCTGTTACCGTAGATCCACTCAATCCCAGCTTCTTCACCAGGTATTTTCTAGTTCAAAAAAAGGACAATTCCTTCTGCCCCATTCTAGACCTAAGGCACTTAAACTCTTTCATTGCATATCATAGTTTCTACATGATAACTTTGGAACATATCCTCCCGCTGATCCAACGTGGAGACTGGTTTTCAGTAATAGATTTAAGTGATGCCTATTTCCATATCTCCATCAGGCCCGATCATGCAAGTACCTCTGCTTTGCTCATGGAGGTGCTTTATTCGAGTTTACCACCTTGCCATTCGGACTCTCCACAGCTCCTTGGGTATTCACAAAATGTATGGTACCCATGGCGGCTTTACTTCGGACACGGGATAGTGCTGTACATCAACAGCTGGCTTCTTGTGGTGCACTCAGAGCGACACCCTTGGGTATTCACAAAATGTATGGTATCCATGGCGGCTTTCCTTCGGACACAGGGGATAGCGCTGTACATCAACAACTGGCTTCTTGTGGTGCACTCAGAGCGACAAGCTATCAGGCATACCGCAGTCTAGCCGACCTGGGGCTCCAGGTCAATCACAAGAAGTCGGTGCTTTTTCCATCCCAAACCGTACACTACATAGGTGCAGTGCTCGACTCCTGACAGGCCAGAGCATTCCTTCCTCACGAGAGGGCAATAAAAATTCTATCCTTCATCCAACAATTTCGACCTTGTGGATATCCGACCATCCATCGCACACAAAAACTGTTGGGACTCATGGCCTTCACCATGTCCGTAATCCTGCATGCTCAGTTGAAAATGAGGTCTTTACAGGCCTTGTATCTGTCACACTCCAACCCTCTCTTGGATCCACCCAACAGGCACCTCCGAGTCACTCCTGAATTGGCCCAACAACTTCTCTGGTGGACCTATCCGGCCAACCTGTTCCTCAGTCGCCCCTTCGCACCACTCCGGTTTACCATGCAAATAACCACCGATGCCAGTCCCGTGGGATGGGGAGCCCACTGCGAACGCCTCCATGTACATGCCACCTGGTCAGTGAGAGAGAGGAGTCTCCGCATCAACAGTCTGGAACTCCTCGTCATCTTCAAGGCCTGTTGTGCCTTCCTCCCAATCATAGCCAGCATGGCAGTTCAAATAACAACAGACAACACAACAGCAATGTTTTACATAAGCAAGCAGGGCAGCAGGCACTCTCTTCCCCTTCTGTACCTAACAGTCCAATTTGGGGAGTGTGCCTGGAACATCATGTATTCCCATCAGTGGTCCACATGTTCACTCAGGACAATGCCTGGGCCAACCATCACAGCAGGAGAACTTTTCAGACGCACGAATGGTCCCTGGACCAAGCTGTGTTTCTCAGGCTATACAACAGATGGGGGTATCCAAAAATAGATGTGTTTGCCACAGAGAACAACACCAAGTGTGCTGCCCTCTTCTCCAGGGCACCGATGGGAACTGGCTCAATGGGAGATGCGCTCATGGTACCATAGACCACTCATCTGATCTATATGCTTCCCCCCATACCACTCATCCTGCGGACTATTGTAAAGATCAAACAAGACAATGCAAATGTTATCCTCGTTGCTCTTTACTGGCCAAGGCAACCCTGGTTCACGGAACTCCTGGCGATGACGTCCGACTCACTCAGACTACCAGCTGTTCCTCATCTTCTCACACAGCACAACAGTCAGACCTATCTCCGCTCTCTCCACCTCACTGCCTGGAGAGTATTACCCCAGTAGACACTATTTTATCACATTCCTGGAAACTAAGAATTTATACAGGCATAAATGGCTCGCCTTTGAAAAATTTGCAGCCTCCTATAATCTCCCAACTTCACTAACTTCGTTGGATGCTGTACTATTATTTCTTTCCTACCGGTTTGACAAACCTCGCGCTCTCCATGCTCAAGGTTTATCTATCCACAATCATGGCTCACCAGCCTCCTGACTCTAAAACTGCCTTACTATTCCGTCATCCGAAGGTTAAACGGTTCCTCCGTGGCGTGGCACATCTCATTCCACCACAACTGGCACCTACTCCTCAGTGGTCCTTTCATACAGTCCTCAACAGGTTGACATGCCCCCCATTCGAGCCATTGGCGATGTGCTCGGAGCACCTTCTCTCATACAAGGTCTTGTTTCTGGTCACTATTACCTCCGCTAGGAGGGCATCAGAGCTCATGGTCCTTTGTGTGGACCCATCTTTCCTTCAATTTCATTTGGACAAAATACCATATATCCTGACGTCTCGTTCCTTCCCAAGGTTTGTTTGGATTTCCATCTTCACCAACCGCTAGTCTTGCCTACTTTTTTTCCGCAACCGTCTATGCCTGTTGAGAAATCATTACACCTCCTGGACGTTCGCAGAGTGTTATCCTTTTACATCCACGAGACTGCTTCTTTCCATCAGTCCAAGCGTCTGTTTGTTTCTCCTCACCCGCCTCATAGAGGACAGCAGGTGCTTCTGCATCGCGGTGGCTTGTCCAGACTATCCACTTCGCCTATGAACTGGCACATAAGCCACTCCCAGGCCCTGTTAAAGCTCACTCTACCAGGGCAGTGGCTGCATCTACAGCGTTCCTCTGGGGTGTTCCTGTTCTGGACATCTGCAGGGCTGCCACCTGGTCCACGCCCTCCACCATTGCATCCCATTATCGTCTGAATGTTCGTGCAAAGGAGGATGCACATTTCAGGCATGCGGTTCTGTCTTGCCGTGATGTCCCTCCACCTGTTCAGGTAAGCTTGTTAATCACCCATTAGTGTGCATTCACAGAGGCCACGAAGAAGAGGAGCTACCTACCTGTAACTCTAGTTCTTCAAGTGGTCCTCTGTGAATTCACACTTCCCGCCCATCCTCCCCTTTTCCATCATGTCTGTCTCTCCTTTTTTGAGCAGCAGCGGAAATGGGAACTGAGCTAACAGTCATGATGGGTGGACCACATGGGTTGCGGGGGGTGGTCCTACTGATTTCGCTCCAGAATATTCCAAGGCCTCTGCGCACATGCAGACTAAACCCATTAGTGTAAATACACAGAGGACCACTCGAAGAATCAGAGTTACAGGTAGGTAACTTCTCTTTTCCATGCTGCTGAAGTTTTAGAACAAGAGCCAAAAGTTAAGTGGCAATGCTTTTAATATTGAAGTGTCATTTTATGAGAATAAGAGATGTAGTTTTAGAGAAGTGCCACTTTAGTCTGTTTTCCAAACAAAGACAAAAGCATTGTAGAGCCCTTAAAGACAAGCAGGTGTAGGCTTGATGGGATAGTAGTCTGGCTCGTAGAAGACAACTACTCATTTTCTTTATTCTTGTCTTGCTCAAATCCCATATTAATTCTATCCATGCAATCAGTAAAAGAGGTAATTATAATCCTGCAGCAGAGGGAGCAGGCTAACCCTGTCCCCACCACCACCACCACCACCACATTGTTGTCTTTCTTGCATGTGAAAAAATTAATTTAAGTGGCCTGGACATGTGTGGGTTGTCTGCAAGACTGAAAACTCAGACAAATGAGATCTTTTATTCACATGGAGATGCCCATAGGTAGAGACCGTTTTCCTATTAGCAAAGGTTGGGATAGAGAGGGGTGGGGCTGCCATGCTCACAGGTTAGAGTTGATTCTCTTATTGCAAGTTTCTCATAGCTATCAGAACAAAGAGGGATAAGCTACACAACAAAAATAGTGCAGTTACCAAAACTAGTAGGCTACCGGCCCACATGCTTAGGGAGGGGATTCTGTAATTAGGAGCTACCACTTAAAAGGCTTTCCGTCTACAACCACTTCGTTCAGTGGTTCTTAACCTTTGTTACTCAGGTGTTTTTGAACTGCAACTCCCAGAAACCCCAGCCAGCACAACTAATGGTGAAGGCTTCTGGGAGTTGCAGTCCAAAAACATCTGAGTAATAAAGGTTAAGAACCAGTGGCTTAGTCAACCTCAGGAGATGAAAAAGATCTTAATTGCTAGGCAGGTTCATTTGCAGAAAGAATCTTCCTCACCCCAGTCTCAGTCCATTCAAATCTTTAAAGGCAAAACTAAATCAATTAGAAAATATGTAGCCTTTTCAATATGATTGTGATTTACTTATGACACTCAATTTTAGTCAACTTTGGATGTTTTACTTTGAACCTGATGCGAGTTCGTAAAATTTTCTAAGGGCAGCTACACACCCAGCACAGTACTGTAATCAGATTTGACACTTGGCACCCAGCTGTGTTGCTGGATAAAGTGGAACTATGGCTACATTAAACTGTTCTTTCAAGAACCATTAACCTCGTCCTTAAAGAGGAATTGTATCCCATCCAGAATAGACTGAAAACACAGACTGATAAAATATTCACCACCAGCAACTCCATCTTTCCTTAGTTTATTTTCAAGTTGTTATGTCGCATCCAGATTTACTAGTGTCAGATAACTTGTTCAGGTTATTCAGCTACTTCATGGTCAAGTGGTACAGCGAAGAGAAAGTTGAATGCCATTAGCTTTTTGATGGCACGCACTCCAAGCCTCCTGATTGTTAGACAAAGCCTTATAGCATATCTTGCAATGAATGTTAAAAGATAATGCATGAAAAAAATACATTAAATATGAATTAAATTTATATTTTAGGTTCTAGTTAAGAAATACTCTGTATTTACAGATAGTACTGTCGGGTGATCCAATGCAGCTTGGCCCGATAATAAAATCCAGCCTTGCTACAGCTTACGGATTAAACATTTCCCTGCTAGAGAGACTGATGGGTCGATCTTTGTATCTAAGAGATGAACATGCTTTTGGTGCTTTTGGATCATACAATCCTCTGTTGGTAAGTCAGTTGGGGAGCAGAGTTAATGTTAAATTGTTAAAAATTTTAATAGAACAGTTACCTGAAGCTTTACAAAACTAGATCCCTCTAACTGTGTGGGTGTGCTTTTGCTATTCGTTTGCAGATTACAAAGCTTGTGAAAAATTACAGATCACATTCTCTGTTGCTGACAGTATCATCTAGACTCTTTTATCATAATGAACTAGAGGTTTGTGCTGATCCTTCAGTGGTAAATAGTTTGCTTGGATGGGAAAAGTTTACCTGAAGCTTTACAAAACTAGATCCCTCTAACTGTGTGGGTGTGCTTTTGCTATTCGTTTGCAGATTACAAAGCTTGTGAAAAATTACAGATCACATTCTCTGTTGCTGACAGTATCATCTAGACTCTTTTATCATAATGAACTAGAGGTTTGTGCTGATCCTTCAGTGGTAAATAGTTTGCTTGGATGGGAAAAGTTGCCAAGAAAAGGTTTTCCACTGATTTTTCATGGAATAAGGGTATGTAAACACATTCAGTTTCATATCTCAAGTTCACACAGGTGTGTAAATAATTATGCAGGATTGTGTAGGCAAGAAGCAGTCAAAGGAATTGTGGCCTCTTAATGACTTAGCAAGTTTTATATGACTTTAACTTGAATTAGCTGTAGCCCACTTCTTCAGATTCATACGGAGTTATTAGTGACTTCATTGTAGTTGAAAGCAAACTTGGTTGCTTTATTGCTTTGTTTCGTACCTTCCTAATGCAGGGCACTGAAATGCGAGAAGGTTACAGTCCTTCTTGGTTTAATCCTACTGAAGCAGTCCAGGTAATGCGTTACTGTTGCCTTCTTGTTAAAAGCATCAACAATCCAGTGTCAGAGGTGAACATTGGGGTGATTGCACCATATCGAAAGCAGGTATGGCACCACACTAAAAATAATGTTAGAGTAGTGTTGAATTTTGTTATCTTTTCTTTTGACGTATTGACCAAAACCCTGTTTCATAGATAGCTCAGCAGAAGGGGAAGGGAATAACTCTCAATAGCTAATTGCCACTAATTAACAAATTCCTGCATGGCTTCATCATTGTGCATCAATTTGGTGGTTCAGCATATGGCAGAAAAACCATATGGGGACTGTATTCTCGAAGGCTGGGGACTCTTTAATTAATGGCAGTTAGTTTTTGTGCATTAACTCCATTTTCCTTTTCCTGCCATAATTATAAGGCAAGATTTGGACCATTAGATTTTATTATGTGCTTTGATGTTATATATTACAGAAGTTGCTTTGAAGAGTTTTGACAGCTGTATTGTTGAGATATACATTTCAAAACTTTAAAAACTGTTAGAAGACACAGTAGCTCTGGATTTCCTCATAACAGCTGAATTTTAAAAATATTTTCCCAGTCCATTGTATAGATCACCTTCCAGAGAATGTTTCTAAAGAGAGAAACCCCTCATTCTACTCCTTGAGTAAATTCTAAACAAATAATAAAAGAATACTATATATGGAAGCCTGTTGTAAGGATTTTTTTTGTTATGTGTTGTTACATTTTCTTATCACCATGAATTAGTGCTCTCCAAAAGATCCCGTCAATAAAAGGCTCTGCTCAGGTCTGCAGAACTAAAGATTGTGGTTCTTTGTGGCCTCTGTGAATCACACCTTGGGTGATCCGCGCCTGCGCGGAGCCTCATCGCAAAGTTCTAGAGCTTCTGCGGTAGCCAAAAACACATTAGAATAAGGCCCCTCCCCCTCATATAAGTTCCTTGGCAGCAATGCTCCCCTTTCAGTTGTGTCAGAATGACGTGACAGTGAGGAGGACGGGTGGGATGTGTGAATCACAGAGGTCCACTTGAAGAAGTACAAGTGGGTAACCTGTCAATTACTTTATTCACTCAATCAATCTCATATTCAATTTTTGTCTTTTCCTTTTGCCTTCACTATTCATTCATTCATTCATTCATTCATTCTATTTATATCCCGCCTATCTGATCTTGCAACCACTCTAGGCAGCTTACAAACACATAAGACAACAATAAATATAAAAAAGAATTATTACATTAAACAGCCAATTCAAGGTGGGGAAGAAAATATGAAAAATAACCCACAAAAGAAAAAAAGAATCAGATATTAACTGGAGGGAAGGGCTGCCCAAACATTCATGTTTTTAAAAATACCCAGCAAAGGGGCCGTGCAAATCTCCAGAGGCAGATTGTTCCATAGGCGAGGAGCCACTGCCGAGAAGGCCTGGTTTCTTGTTTTTTCCTTCCGGACCTCCCTCGGCGTCAGGCTCCTCAGCCTCACCTCCTGACTCGCTCGAGTGACACGGGTAGAGCTTGGTGGGAGTAGGCGTTTTCCAACGTTACTGTCTTTTCCATGGAATTTGTCTTCTTTCAATAGGCCAAAAATACAACAGTCCCAGTTTCACCCACTTATTTGTCTTTTTGGTGGTCTGCAGTATTTGTAAAACTAATCTGCTGCACCACATTTTGAATGTGAAACAGCTTTCTTCACTGTCCAAGTTCTGCATTTGTGCACAACAAATAGGAATCTCGTGGTACAGGTTATCACCACCTGAACTATGAATTAAACTGTAATGCTTTGTCTTAATGCTTAATATTGGTTGCAGAATGTCAAAACTGAAAATTGTTCCATTGTTCAATTTTAAGGTAGAAAAAATCAGAGTGCTCTTACATAGTGTGGATCTAATGAACATCAAAGTTGGCTCAGTAGAAGAATTTCAAGGGCAAGAATATCTAGTGATCATCTTATCAACAGTACGTAGCTATGCTGTTTTTATGTTTCAGAACTAGTAGGTTGAAGAATTAGAAAGATGCCAAAGTGGGAAGAGGCATCCTTTCTGATTGATGAAGAGATTATAGGCAAGAATAATGACTTCAGATAAATCTGATAATCACATCAAGAAGTAGGTTTTAAAGTGGAAAATGAAAGAAATGTATTCCAGGATGAGTAATAAAACCTTCAACTAATCAGGATGGTACTGGGCTAATCTTTTGTTCCACCAGCAGTCATATTGGATTTTTCCTCCTCTACCCACAACTTCAGCTTTCCAAGCCATCCCAAAACTATGTCTGATCTTTCCAAGCCCTCCAAAATCATTCCTGTGGCTGCAGGAAAGGTTATAGGAGGGAAGAGCTGACTCCCCAGTTACACTAGATTTCATCATTCCATTAGCAAACATCATTAAATACTGTCACATGACCACTTTAAAAAAATAAACCTTAGTCTGAAGTTTTATGTCCACTGATAAACTACCTTGCACGTAAGAACTGCATAGGAATAGACAGGCAGAGAATTGTGGTTTTTGCCACATGTTTGAAATTAATCTTAGTAGGATAGCTCAGTGATTTAGGCATCTGGCCACAGATCCAAAGGCTGCTGGTCTCTGTTGTTTTTCAGTTTATATACTAACATAATTATGCAAACAACACCTTGTGCCACCGCAAGCTCGGTACTCATTTTACCAACCTCAGAAAAATAGAAGGCTGTCAACCTTGGGCCAGCTACCTGAACCCATCAAGATCAGACTCAGATCATGAACAGAAGCTTCGCTGCAGTATTGCAGTTTAACCACTGCACCAGAGGTTGGGAGTTTGATCCCTCAGTGTACCTCCTGTGAGAGTATAGCCATCCTGTGTGGCCTTGGGCAAGCTGCATAGTCCCAGGGCACTTCCAGAAAAAGGGAATGGTCAACCACTTCTGAGTATTTGATACCTGGAAACCCTGAAAAGGTAGCCATAAGTCAGAATTTACTTGATGAATGATGATGAAAACATTGTTAACATTATAAAGTTCAGTTTGACAGCTGCTTTTTTAGTGCACATTTTTTTTATTACCGGTTATTTTAAAAAGGTATGTTTATGCTCATGCTGGAGTTAGGTCTTCACAATGAAGACCTAACTCCAGCATCTTTTATTAGTGCAAAACTAGCCCCTTCTACTATTTTTTTCCTTCTAAAACTTTTTTAAAATAAAGCAAATTGCTTTAGCCCCACTTAACCAACTTGGGAACATTGGATTTCTGCTTTTATCATGGGCCTTTACTTTCCAGCATTTCTGTAGTAGTTGATGGAATAGAACACTCCGGGTTTTGAAGACTTTGGCTTGCAGCGGTGGTTCCCAGCCTTGGGTAACATAGGTATTCTTGGACTGCTGTTGCTGGCCAGGGTTTCTGGAACTTGCAGTCCAGGAACACCTTGGTTACCCAAGGTTGGGAACCAGTGGCTTGACACTAATAGGTACTTGTTTCATCCAGTCACTCACAACAACATCTAATGGCTGCATACAAGTTATACTTGGGCAACACAAGCTGCAGTCTAGCATTTTGCCAGGATGTACCAGAACAAGGTGCTGCAACAAGAAGGGGTGGATGTGTGGACATATATAAACACTTCTATATTGTTACCTCCTATTATCTTTACCTTTCTAGTGATTAAAGCTGCTGTTTCTATTACAGGTTCGGTCAAATGAAACTTCATTCAATGAAGAAAGATACTTTTTAGGATTCCTTGCCAATTCAAAGCGCTTTAATGTTGCAATAACCAGAGCCAAGGCATTGCTCATTATACTGGGGAATCCTCATGTGCTTGCTAAAGTAAGTCTTCTTCATTTATCATCTATCATGATGTAGCTGTTGGACTGTGGCCAGATTCCTGTTGTTTAGCATAGAGAATTGCACTGGGGTAGGTCCGTTGAATCACTCAGGATTTGGTGAGTCAGCTCCACTTTATGTTCCACTGATCCAAGTGGGTCTACTCTAGTTGCAATTTACTTTAGCGTAGTAAGTCACAGCTAAAGTAGGTTTATTAAATACTGAAGCTTTTCATTTCGACTATGTTCAAACTAGTATGCATGGATCTGCTCCTCCTCACTTTAATTAAGCTCACAGCAACAACCCTGCAAGGTAAGTCAGTCCAAGGTCAATTGCTGGGCTTTTTGTTTGCTTAACTTAACAAAAACTTAACCCCTGAAAGAGAGTTTGTTGATTCATTCCTTTAATCTCTGTATGAGGTTTGCCATTGTCATGGCAGAGGTAATGGCATGTCATGTCATATGTCAAAGTCAGACATAGTAGTATTCAATGGCAGAATGGTAATAGAAGCCACAGAAAGCAATTAATGAGAATTGAAGAAAGCAACTAATAGTGATGAGTGGTTTTCCGTCTTGCAGTACTTTACATTCTGATTTTTAGTGACTATTTCCAGATAGGTATCATGTAAGTCTGCTGTAGAGCATAATCCTGTGACAAAACTTAACAGAAACAACAGCCCTATGGCAGTCTCTGGGTATATTATGGCACAAGTGTCCATGGACCATATCTGCTTGATGAGATATACAAAATGTTACCTGAAGTTTTCATATATGTGGACACATTCATATGTAGAGAGCACATAGGGAGGCAGAGAAAATAAGAGACAGCGAAGTCAGAAGAAAATTGAAGAGTTAATAAAGAGTTAACAATGACACATTTTTAACATTGGTTATTACAAAAATTTTCTTGCCAGTGACACAAACATCTGGCACTAATTTACAGTACCAGAATGTTTATGTCATGTTACATGTAGTGTAATAAAGAACCTTATTCTGATTCAAGCCCCTGATGAAGGACTAGAAACTAGGGGAAAACTGAAACTCAGTAGTCTCTTGTTTTTAAGTAGTCACCCTTTATAGAAGAAGTTAGTGATCTCATTGCTGCTTACTAGAGTAATAATTATGTCCCATTGTTACTTATAAGTGATGGGCATGAACCAGTGGTTTGGGGGTTTAGTGCAGTTGGTTTTGCAGCTGAACAGCTGGTCCACGAGAGCTGGGGCTGGAGAGGGCAGGTTGCCAAACTGCAGATTAGCTGTTGAGCAGGGAAAAGAACTCTGCCAAATTGGTGGTTAATGAGTTGCTGCTTCTGTGCCTTGTATAGTACACAAAACTAGCATGCAGCAAGAGATTTCGCTGGAACGAATTAACGTCGTAATGCGAGGCACCACTGTAATTAAGTGCCATCAAGTCAGTTCTGACTTACAGCTACCATTACTGGAGTTAAAAGAACTGTAAAAACAAATGTCTGTGCAAAAGAGCTGAATTATCAGCTCAGCTTTCTCTTGCAGCTTGAATAAGGACAGATATGTGTTTAATCAGCTTAGTGATGCAAGCATATTTCTGCTGTCACTTAACAATTGTTTTGTGAATGCCTACTGTTAATATGGTACCTAGCACTGAAAATATGAGCTCCCTCTGACCTCACAGTAGTCTGTGGGAAGAGACCTTGATACATGTGTTAATTTTCAAGGAAATGCAAGAATATTGGTTTACTTTTTCAAGGAATCTCAGACACTATAGCAGTTCCAAAGTCGTGGATTCTATCCTCCCCAGTTTCCCTCTCACCATTCATTTGTTTAATATTTAAAGGGAGTGTAAGACCTGGTCCAGCATTATTTGCATTGTTATACAGAATTGTGCAGAAATAACAAAAAAATCAGAAAATTATTGGGGTGGGTACAAATTGCATAAAAGTCATCTTGTTTCTCCTCTTAGTCACCATTTAAAAGAACAGCAGTACTAATCTTTATACAATGTCATCTAAAGTTTCATACCAATACAGTCTTGCAGTACATGCAGCTGCATTTAATATCCTAAACATGGATTCCTGTTTAGGTCTGCTAGTTTTAAATAGAGTAAAAAAAAGTGATGCATTATCAGTTATGTTTGAATAAGTACTGGCCAGAATCCTGTTTACATAAGCTTGCTGCAGCTAAATCACAGGATGTGGGGGTGCATCTCGGTTGCACAGTCAGGCATGGGCCTAAGAACATAACCTAGGATTCCCACCAGCCCCTTGGCAATTAGCTGTAATTAGTAACAACAAACTATGCATACGTTATGCAAACATTATTATGATTATGGTAATAATCTGTGCAGCTTTTTACAACCTTTCTTCTTTTGATCAGGATCCCTGCTTTTCTGCCCTGCTGGAATACAGTTTGGCAAATGGAGTTTATATTGGCTGTGACTTGCCAGAGGAGCTAGAAAATATTAAAAAGTGAGCACCGTTTTGGTACAGGAGTAGAGGAAAAGGGGGTGAATAAATCAGAACTATCCATTTATCTAAAAGTCCTTTTGGAAGACACTATGAAAAAGTATCTTGGTTTGAATTGTTTTAAAAATTCAGTTTGTGAAGTTGTATAGTTAACAAACTAACTGCAATTTTGTGATCTCTTGAGAGGGCATCCCAAGGGTCAAAAGGTAAAAACAAGTCATCCTCCTACCTACAAAGAAGGAGTTTTCATTTTTGCTTGCAAATCTCATTCTAAATGTAAAATCTCCTTGCTCTGACTTGGAGCATCCTTGGAGCAGGTGTCCTTCATTTAGTCCAGTTATGTCCCCACTCACAAGTATTGAGTCTGCCACTTCAAGCTCATCAGGTTGTTGGATTTAGCAGTTCCTCTGCCACAGATTCACTGCCACAGCTGGAATTGGATAGAGCATTTAATTTGCCAACTGAAAACATTTACCTCAAGAGTCAGCATACTGTAAAGGTTTGGCATCTTGACAGACTGGGCGAAAGGCAACTAGATCTTGCCAGTATTTACCAGGAGCTTAAAGAGATACTAACCACCATTAAGGTTCTGGCTTCTAAATGTGTGTTTTCCATTCCTAATGTATTTGGGAAAATCAGTACAGCTTATGAATATATTAGACATTCATAAGCTGTACTGATTTTGCCAAATGGAATGTATTAGACATTCATAAGATTACAATATTACCAGACATCAGTATGAAGAAGAAATAATTATTAAACCAGTTCAGTTATGTGAGATAAATGTCTGGATTTAGATGTTTATCTAAAACAGCATGTTTAAGCTAAGATAGTTTGTGCTATTTTATTATTTGTCTTATTATTTTAATCAGCAGAAGTGACCAATTGGAAAGAATTGTTGTGTTTCCTGGGTAAATCTTCCTGACCACATCTTTATCTGCCAGACAATAAACAATGTAAAGTACTTTGTAGATACAGAACCTTTTTCTACAGTTGGGTTAAAGGAATAAATGCAAGTTGTAAACTGTAATTCTTATTTTATAGTTGACCTTCTTTTTGTGCTGTAAAATCAAACAGAATTAAACATTTTTGGCATTTTGTGATCTGTTTTGTGTCCTTGCAGTTGGGGTTATAAGAATGATCATAAATTACTAGACTTGACTGTGTCAGATACCAAACCATCTTTAGAGTGGCCAGAATCCTGTTGGTATTTGTTTAAGGTTTGCATAACTTGCCAAAGCTAGTTGCAGTGGGTTGATGAGGTACTGGGATATATCTTGGCTGCACAATCAGGTGTGCCACCAGGGATATACCTGAGTTGTGCCTCTGCACCTTGTCAGTTACGTACAGCAAATTATGCAGACCTTATATAAACACCTGTAGGGTTCTGATTCAAGTAGTATACACTGTATCCCATTTTCATGAAAATATTTGATAGCAGATGTCTGTCTGGTATTCTAGCGCAGGGATGGGCAATATTGGGGCTTCCTAGAGGCTCGAACATAGTTCTCCAGTACCATCTTCCTCCCCTGCAACATACAGTTGTGTTCAAAATTATTCAACCCCCAATGCTGTAAAGGGGTTCAGGGACTATAGTGTACATTTGGAATTGTATTCAGAATGAAATCCTACAAGGACGTTTTAAAGAACCAAATGCAACTAAAATAACATCAATTGTTTATGTAATACAGTAGTAAATGTTTCTTTTGTGGTTTCTTCATTGCCACAATTATTCAACCCCTTAAAGACTACCACTCTGAAGAAGAGAGGTTCATTCAGGTGTTTTCGAACAGGTATTGAAAACACCTGTGGATGTCACCGAGCACCAATCAAGCATAATAACCACCAATTAGGCAGCTTTAAAATGACTGTGATACTCAGCTCCTTCTAGACATTTACTGGTGTGGTTACATCTCCTAGTGCCCCCAGAAGATGTGGGGAACTATTTTAACAGGTATGAGAAACTCCTTGGACCCTCATCTCAAAACTCTTCTTTTAAAACAATTTAAACACTAGGGAGTGCAAAGGGGATTTTTTTCATTTTAAAAACATCATTTTTATATGAAAAATGAAGGGGGCATTGAAGCAGCCCTCCAAAGATGACATATCACCCTTGCAGTAAATGAACAAGCTCTTCCCAACCATACCACCGCTCCAAGGTTTTCTATATTCTACTAAATAGTGCAGAAAAGTAGAATGGTGAGCAGTTGTTTTCAGCAAATTTGCTCAGCATCTGTTTGTGTCTGATGGGCAAAAAGAATTCTTTGTCAATGGTTTCTTTCCTCTTAGACCAATGATATAAGTACCTTTTTAGCAGTAAACTTGCTTGTAGATATTTGATTTCCTCCCCCCCCCAATTAAAAAAGCTATCAACTGAACCTTGTTGTTCCCATTATGTTTTCTTCCACCCAGGATACAAGGGGCAATTTTTGTTTTGCTTTGTTTTGGTAACAGTTGAACAGTGATTCAGGGTTTGTTTTCTCTTAAGCAGAGATTTTTAGAAGTTTGAGAACTCTTGTAAGTCTTGATGGAAAGGTGCCTGTGTTCACCAGATAAACTTAGAGGAAAATAGTCCCTTTTCCTGACATTTCTCCCTTTCTTTCTATGGACAGAATCCTGTTACGCAAAGTTATGCTGAGATAAACTGGATTCAACCCCGGATATAATGTCAATGAACTGAAAGCTTCCTGGGATGAGACAGACCACCAGGGCAGTCTGGTGGCAATTTTTGATTATTGAAGTCTCCCCATTCCCAGAGGCTCCCAAAGGCTTTTGCGGGACAAAAAGGGAACACTAGGGAGCCTCAGGAACTGAAAAGGGGGGAGGGATAAAAAGCTTTCAGTTCATTTAAACTACGGTAGGTATTTTCAACACTGGATCTGGTTCATACCAGTATAACTGCTCAATAGGATTTTGCCCTGTATCTTTCTCTGTTTTTCTGCATGAAGTTGAAGCAGCGTGCAAATAGTGAATAATCAAAATTATCTAAAGTTCTTTACAAAGTAGAACAATATCAGTCAAATTCTTTTTGAAACGAAAATGCCAAAAATATTGATGAAATAAAATGGCCTTTGATGCTTTGTGCATGTGTTTTTTGGACAGTTGGTGCAGAGTCAAGCACTATAAATAAATAAAACCATTTCAGATCCAAAGGGAAGCCTCAGAGATGGACTGAAGTTATTGCGCAGCATCCTATGTGTAGGAAGGGTAACTTTATATACCTTGGTTCTGGTCTGATTAGGCTTGATGTTTAAAAATAGTGAATCAAATTGAACTTGGAAAGGTATAGCAACCAGTGAAGCTGGTAAAAAGCTCAATGTAGTCTGAACCAATCAACCAGTTACTTACAGCAGTTGCATTCTGAACCAGTTAAAACTTCTAGGTGGGTGAACTTTATATTAGACTAATATAAAATATTGTACAATAACCAATATTATTCTGTGAGGTGCAATCTGCTTTATCCAGAAAACATTAAGTTGCATTTAGTGGCCACTCTGGGCACCTGACCCTTTGGGAGAGTGGAAGCCCATCTGGATTAGGCACTGCATTATTAATTAATTATTAATTACATTGCCCAACCAAGATACCATCTGTCTGTTTTTAATTGAAACTTTACTTTGTTCACACTAATTCAAGGCCAAAGTCTAATTTGATATCAGTTGAAAACGTTCCTGTCTCCTTAGAATGTGTTGGATGATAGAGCAGTCTGATTTCCATCTCCATACACACAGTTAGGCATGAGCTACTCATTTCCAGTAAACAGGAAAAATTATTTGCTGTGGGTTACTGCAAACATGTGCTGTATTTTAACATACACCTAAATTGCACAACATTGTTGCCCTGGGCATGTCGGGGGCTGGGGGCAACATCACATTATGGGAACGTCATGCCTTCTTCCTGCCCCTCTTTTTTATTTTTTTAAAATAAGGGTTTGCATATATCTTCCAATGTGTCATTTTAGTTGTAGGTTAAAGAACAAAGAATCACATCTGCTTCTGCAAACAGAGGTGCAAAGGGAAAAAACATGATGACATTTGAGAGAAGAGCAAGAGGGATTGATAGGTGAGGTGGGAAACGGGTAAGTAGACAACTAGTGGGCAAAGGCACACTCCTGTGCCACCCAAAATGTGTAGCTGCAAAAACGGGAGCAGAAAAGAATCAGGTTGGGCACTATTTTGAACCACGCTAAGGCTTAATGTGTGCTGCAACAGGAGTCATTGTGGATTGGATCAGGGTTTTCTGGTGTAGTTTGATTCCTAGTTAAATTTTGGGTGGAGCAGCTTTGAAACCTCTATTTTCAATTTGCCTCACTTTTGGATCTTCCTTATTTTCAAGTATCTCTTTTTTTTTGAAGAGTTAATAATTTTGGCAAAGAAAACAAGGTAGTTATTCAGTTGCACTTCAGACAATAGTTAAGCCGACACAATTTCATGGTGCTGTTTTATTTTAAAATTTGAAATTATATGAATTGCTCAATCTGACGCACATTAAAATCATAAAACACGAATTGTTAATTAAGAGTTAATGTATTGTGCTACTGCTTTGGAAGAAATGCATAACCTTTTCATTTCTACTACACTGTTCCCCAAGACAATTTATATGTGGTACAAAGAGAAAAACTCAATTAACTTAAAATATATGACAATTTATTTGTGTGTGTGTTTGTATTTGTATGTGTGAACACACACAGTAAAGCTAAGTTAATTCCCCTTAAGTGCAAATAGTACCAAGAGTTACTGCATGAGCCAAAATCATGTTGCTTAGTGTAGTACCTTGCAATGGTGTAGTACCATTGAGTTAATAAGGGTTTAATGAGTCAGTTTCTCCATAAGTCTCACTAGTTCAAATTGACCTGTTCTGTGACTTCCTTTAGTATAGTAAATTGCAGTTCACATGGGCCTATGTGAATTTATGGAACTTTAAAGAGGAGTTGACTAAGCAAAGTCCATTGATTCTGAGTGATTCAATGGACTTACTCTAGTGTGATTTATTACACCTAGCAACCAGGTTCTGGACATTAATTCAGAGACTAGTACTCTTTCAGTGGCCTTAGGCTTGTAACACTCCACCCTTCAATGTTCTGGGTTTTTTTAATATTAGCAGCACATTCTTTCTTCCTCCTGGGGAATTTTAAGCATCTGAGACCAGAACTAGAGCTTATAATCACAGGTGAGGTAGGGTTGCCACTTTAAGGAAAGTCAGAGAAATAGAAATTGGTCAGAAGTCAGGGAAGTTGTGATTATGATACACCTGTGTAGTGGATTTTCTTCTGGCAACAAGCGTAGAGAAGTAGCAGAATACAGGTACCATTTAATGGTGGTGCATTTTCCTTCATTTCCCAGCCCCACCTGCGGAGAGGGCAGTGGTGAGGAGGTCCCTGTTGGTGGGCTGCTGCCATCCCACCAGAGCCTGAAGGGTGGACTGGTTTACCTTCAAAGACAGCAGAGGTCTTGGCAGTTCTGGATTCTGAAAGAGATCAACATGAACCAAAAAAGAACCTTTAAAAAAGGCAAACCAGACCAGTTTTGATTCAGTTCGTTGCCAGTTTGGGAGTTGCCACAAAACAAACCAATGGACTTTTTCAACATTCACTGGTTCAGTTTTGGGTGATTCACCCCCTTGGCCAGACAGCCTGCTCCTGTCAATCAGATTCCCTAGAGAATGTTGGTGTGGACATAGAGAAAATGTGATTGTCAGGTCAAGCCAACCACAGCTCCAAGTGCAGTTAGAGGTGCTTATATACACTCTGTGTGTATAGCCACATGGCAACTGTTTCACTTTTGTAGCAGTCATTGTGAGCAGAAGACTTAGTCATCGCCAGCCTGATTAGTGAAGTTGAGGTGGCAATGGGGATAATGATAATGCCATGAACACAACCCACAAGACAGCAGTAATAGAAAAGAAAAAAGTCTGGATAACTCACATTGCAGTTCCAGGACATGGCAGATTTGAAGCTAAAGGACTGAAAAAAATTAGCAAAATACAGAGATCTGGCAATCGAAACATCTCGCTTATGGATGAAATACATTTCAGTGGTCCCCATCATCATTAGGACTTTGGGAACAATATCAAGAAATGGTTGTTCTGGGTTTTTCGGGCTCTT